ACCCAGCCATCAGATTTACCATGGAAGTCGAAATAGATGGCAAGATACCTTTTTTGGATGTCCTAATTAAAAAGAGACCTGATGGTTCAATGAGCCACTCTGTCTACAGGAAAGCTACCCATACGGATGCTTATCTGAAACCGGATTCCCACCACCATCCATCACAGAAGAATTCTCTCATCAAGACTCTGTATCATAGAGCCCAATGCATATCCGACCAGGAACACATAAGCAGTGAACTCAAGCACGTACACCAAGCTCTTAGGGCTAATGGTTACTCCGACTATACAATCCGCAAAGCTATCACTCAAACCATGAAGAAGAACCCTCTTGAGGAGCCTTTCAAAACCATCACTTTACCCTACATTGCTGGGATCACAAAAAAGATCTCCAAAATCTTGAATAAACACAAGATCCAGGTCCGTTTCAACACATTACATAAAATCCGTGATCTGGTTCCGTCTGTAAAAGATGTGATTCCGGACATACAATACCCTGGTGTCTACAAACTAAGTTGCCTCTGTGGTAGTAGTTACATTGGAGAAACCAAACGCCATATCTCGGACCGCATTCGTGAACATAAAGCAGACCTTAAACACGGTAGGACCAACACCTCGGCCGTAGCAGATCATTGTTCTAATTCAGTAGGCTCACATGCCATTGACTTTTCCAAGACGGAGGTTCTTTGTAAGCCATCTGGCTTCCATGAGAGATTCGTTCATGAGGCTATCCACATATACAAACACAGAGACAATTTCAACCGAGAAGATGGATTCTATCTTAGCAATCATTGGAAAGATTTGATAAATCATTTCAGTTCTTGATTGATTGTTCACGCTTACAGTGGCTTTCAGACAGCATACATAAAAACAAATTTCGTCTCCCCCCTCCTCTTTTCAAAAAATAGATGGACTAGTCCTGGCAAACAGCCAATCGTTGCGCGTGACGCAAACGTTATTTATATATATATAAATAAATAAATATGCCGTTTTCAAAATAAATTTATGCAAATCGACACACCTGATGATGACCGTTTGAGTTATGGTCGAAACGTCGTGAGAATTTTTTATTGTTTTATATATATTTTGTTATTTTGTTGTTTCTCTTCAACGTGACTTTACCGAAAAAACTAAGAATATGAATCTGTTTTGTGTATGCATTGTTCTTTATTTTTGGTGAGGTTTTCATATAAGCCCTCTTGGGTTTCCAACTTCACCTCCGCACCTTCTTACCCTTTTTAATTTGCACTGTTTGTCTTTCGATTGTCTTTTTGGTGTGCGAATAATGAAACCAAAATATCATCCATAAACCGTAAATGTGTGACGTATTCTTGCATAAATCGCATCCCTGTCAAGGGGCTGTCCAGAAATGACGTCACGCACCTGGGGGGGGGGGTCAGACATTTGTGACGATGTGTGACGAGGGTGGGTGGGGGTGAGAAATGTGACGTCACGTCAAAATGCGCAACTTTAAATAAATATAGACGACACGTTCTACTTAATTAAATTTACTTTTTAATAAATGTTTTCTCCTACAATATCAGAGTGCAGCGCCACATTAAATACGCACCACAATGACAATAGTTTAAAGCGATTTGAAGCATGTTTTATTTATTTGGGGGGGGGGGCAGAGCTTTGTGACGTCATATTTGAGGGGGGGGGGGGTCTGACTTTTTGTGACTCCGTGTGACGAGGGGGGGGGAGTAAAAAAATAGTCCAAAATCGCGTGACGTCATTTATGGACGACCCCCAACCCCTTAGAAGTCAGTGCTCTACATTATTACAGACCAATTCAGACCTTATTGGTCACCCTTATAAATCTCAACGTTCATCCTACAAAGTCCCATCGCAAGGGAGAAACACAAACAAATACACAAACATTGTGCATTTGTTGTGCCCGTATTGAAACGTCTGTACGCCGTATGGACCTAAAAACTAAATTTCCCCTATAAAAACCCTTTCTGATTCTGATATGCGCGGACGAATCGACGCACGACAACCCTGCGACGAGAATCGATTCCCTGCTCGTTGGGTTCCGGTTCCCCCCCCCCCTGCAGCCGCCGCCGCCCCCCCCCCCCTTGGCAACCGTTGCCAGGGGCCCAAGCGGCGGGGGCCTTCGCGCGCGTTGCGAGGCCGCGCGCCGTTTGCCCGCCGGTTTAAAAAAAAATTACTTCCATCGGCGTCGTCGTTGTCGGTGTTGTTCAATTGTAAAATGTTCAACGAGTTTACAAAAAACGTGCAAGTTTAAAAGAGCTGGTTGAGAGAGAAAGTCCGTGGGTTTTCGACGCAAGCGTAGTTTGCCGGCTGTGGATCACGAGAAGAGGTGAATTATGACACACTGTGTAACAAAAAAAATATTTTTTTGTGTTCCTGAGTAGTAAGTGTTATTTCCTAATTGCTTATGCCTCAAAAGTACAGAAAATGTGTATTATTCTCCACAAACTTTGCTTTTGTGACCAGGACAGTGATATTTTTAAATGTACCCTATTTGGTGTGCATTTGTGTCTTTCCTTCACGTAAAGTCGGGGTCACAAAAGCAAAGTTTGTGGGGAATAATAATAGTCACTTTTCTATACTTTTGAGGCATAAGCAATTAGAAAATAACACTTACTACCCAGGAACAAAAATCGTGTAACCTAGTGTAATAATAATGCTAAAAGTCGCGTAGTGGGTTTCATTGAACGCGGTTGCGCCCGTTAAGTCTGCAATTGTCAATGGCGAGTGAACCAAAGTTAAGCGTTTTAATCTAATTTGCTAAAAATAAATACAATACTCACGTACGGTATATACAGGAACGACGAGAGCATATTCGCCGTGTGTTAGCGTAAGTACTGCGGTGAGAGATGTTTAAAATGTATAACTTTAAGCAAGTTTGTGCCCACGTGTAATTAATTATGCGTTAGAACGAGTGTTTTTTTGTTTACTTCAAGTTACCTATTATTCTACGTGGATTATGTTTTTTATGTTTATTTAAAATAATGACTTACGATGCGAGATTATGCTGTGTATACAGAATTAGGTAGTGATATGGCATTCATCCAGCAGTGGATAGACAGCGGTTGATGATAGTACCCGCATTTGAACGTTAACTTTACGATGTGAACCAATACGTACCGTAATTATAAACAAGCTTTGATACCGTACTTTTAACAATTACACGATTTATGTTTTAGTGTAAGAAGTATGTCTTGTTTTATTCACACGCAGTACAATCGTTTAATTGTTGCGAGTCAATTCAGACTTAGAACGGTTCTACAAAGGACACCAAATAACCCATTTTCCCAAAAAACACAACAACGCCTTGGTTCTGCTATGCCCTGGTTTGTGTCTTGTCGGCAACTGTGAATGCAGTTTAAGGAGTTAACGTACGGTTGTTATTACACGCCGCCACATGGCGCCTGAATCTTCGTGGCAAATACACGGGCCAAGCTTGGGCCACATTTGGTGCGACGTCTGAATTCGCGGACGGAATTCCAGACAGACCCCCCCCCCCACCGGCTTACAGTACTTTATTATTATTCACTCAAACCATGGTGCCCCTAGTTCCTGTAAGAGTGACTGACCGTGCTTCGTGACCTCGGCATGGATACCCACGAGCGAGGGGTTCTATTCGTGCGTGTGGCTAAATGTTCTCGAGATCAATGCCGATGTTTGCCGTGAGCCACGACGAGAGGGTTTTGCTGTTCCTCCTCCGTTGAAGTTTGGGTTGCACGAACACAATTGTGCGATCGTGGCTTGTCCTTCATTTTACATTCACGAAGGTGCGCCGCGTTGTATTGATGTTCTGCTGCGGTGGATGGTCACACCAGTGTCTTCGAGGAATGTCAAAGCCGGGGCGGTGCGATGTTAACACTGCCAATGTTAAAACAGTCCAGCGTATTCTTGGTTCTTTCGGTAAAGTCACGTAGAAGGGAGACAATAAAATAAAAATGTATATAAAACCACAGCAATAATTTTTTTGCTGTGGTTTTCACACCTGATGATGATTGCTTGTGTTGCAGTCGAAACGTCGTGAGAATTTTATTTATATTTTTTTATTTTATTGTTTCCCTTCTACGTGACTTTACCGAAAGAACCAAGAATATGAATACCTGCAGTCACGAAAGCTTTCAATCTAAATTTACAGTCCAGCGTGTTGACCAGGCAATTGTTAAACCGATATCACGAGTTGCCTGGCCGCCCACAAGTTGAATTCAGCAAGCTCACCAAGCCAATATCAGCAGTCTTGTTAGCCAACACATAGCAGACAACTCAGTCAGGGGTTGACCGAAGGTAGCGAGTTGACTAACCAAGTCACGACGTTGATTTTTGGGCGTTGACCAATGTAATGCGTTGACCAAGTGAGGAGTGGACTTGGATAATTAATCAACCAAGCGAACTGGTCAAGCGGAGTTGACCAACGCAGACTTGACCGATTATATAAGTTGACCAGGCCAGAAAGTTGACCCATCTAGGAATTCACATGATTGTTAATCAGCATACAGCAACTTGTCATTGTCTGCGTTCATGAGCAAAAACCATTCCAACTCAGCCACCTAAGTAAGCAGTCGCTCCGAGTGGGTTTAAAACTCTCTAGCTGCAGACGCCAACACAGCCGCTGAGCACGCTGAGTCCTCTCAGCGTTTTGTTTTAAATTCCTGTTTCGTTTGGCTTGTTGCGTGGAATGTTAAAACCACCGGGAGGCGCGTAACGGGTTCCCAATCATGGCCAGGGGTACAGTGTTCTGGACCACAGGCTATGGGATCAGAGACTCCATAAAGTTTTGCTCATCGCAGAATTCTTGAGTTGTGTTAATTCTCAACAAAGTTATGATAAATTAATAGAGCCGGAGTATTTTCAGTAGTGGTCTATCAGCGATTTTCTAAGTTTACGGTTCGAGTTAACGGGTGTGTAGTCTTGTAATGGCCAGAGTTGGCAAATTATTCGTTTTATAATGTAAACGTGGATTACCAACAAGAAGAATAACGCGATAGGTGAGTGAGGTCGCGTGTGCATGCATGTTGGTTGTGGTTACTAAAGATGGGATGTGTTGTACGAAATGCAGAGTTTGCTAAAATAATGTTTTGAGAGATGACTTCAGTACAGTCTACATTGTAAAAAAAATGCAAAAGCTGGACGTTTCAGTTTAGCATTAAGGCAGCTGGGAATGCCTCCCTTAGGTTAAAAGCATGTGGAAGATAAAAGTTAATGTTTATACATGGGGAGGGGGTGTGTAAATGACAAAGTCACAGTGGACATTCTTAGCACAAATGTCCATTATCAACCCTGAGCCAGTGGTTGGAAATTCCACGTATGCATGGCGGGTGCCAAATCTGTGTAGTTGACTTTGTGCAAAGCTGAGTTAGGAACTTGTAACTTTTGTACCGCGAGTCCTGAACACTGCAATATGTATTGCTAACAGATAATTTGTGTGATTATTGATTTATGTTTACTCACACTTTTACCCTCTGTGACTTTTTCATGCTAAAAATTGGAAATATTAAATTCATCTGTACATTTTTATGCCAAGACTCCCACGCAAATGAGTTTCAATGTTTCAATGCTATCATCTGGTTCAAAACAATGTCTAATACATGTTTATACATATATTTCTCATTTACATGGCAGCATCCCATTGGTGGTTGTCAGCTCATGTACAACCCCCCGTAAAAGCTGACCCATCTTTCTCAGTAACACAAGGGGAAAGCCACCCCATCAACTTCGTCTTGGCCGCTTGGCCATGCGGCCTCTTGCCCATCTTACGGTCGGTCATTCAAGGCGTATATCCAATGCCAGATGGTCGGTTCATACCAAGGGCATACCTTTAAGGTCGCATGCCAATCATGCACCAGTGATCTGGCTGTTGCTATTAATCCTGCTGTTACGGCTGCTATTAATCATTTATCCTGCTGCTATGCAGATACCCAGATAGACATCCAACCTTTCACTCAAACATCTGGCCGATCAGCCGTTGGCAACGTTGCTACCCATAAACCTGGCAATGTAGCCACGTCCAGCCTCCCACCCTTCCACCCCTGTCCCCGGCCACCCATCAACCAGAACAAGTGGTCACCCAGCCTCCTAGCCACCCTTACCCACCCAGAGCAAAGCGTCCTGGGCGTGTACAGTGAACGATTGTTGGATGTGTGCAGCAGCGTGGGTGACTTCAGTTATAAAAATTCAGTTGCCTCACAACGGAGTCAAGCCATGGGTGGTGGGGGTGTTGCGTTACCGAGGCAACAGGGGGGGGGGCTGCATTAGTAACCGCGATGCAGCTCACGGACTCCTTACCACAGCGTTACGGGGTGGGTTCTGTGAAGACGGCAAGGGCCGTGTTCCAATGTCTAATTGTTGCTGTTGTTTGGATGCTAGGGTTAATTTGTGTGTGCGTGATGGAGGCTTGAATGGAACTGATCGTTTTTTGGCCATTAAGGAGATCTGCGTTGCATTTGTGATGTAAATCGTGCATTCTGGCACCCGCTGTATATTTTTTGCACCGTTGTTTTACTGTAACATGTTTAATAGAGAATAAGCATATATGTATTACGCGACAGATGTATAAACGTGGAAACGGTGACTGTGGGAGATATGTGTGGCTTTTTTGAATGTGTTTGACTGTGGTGGAGGTAATGTAATGGGTGTTATGTCGATTGGTGGTGCTGGTGATGTGGTTGTATGCAGGTGTAGGTAGGTGCTGGTGATGCCAGGACAAGCGGATTTGCCCATCATGGGCGGCTCTTTCAATCCAGGGGCCTTCGCGGGCCCTCCCGCCTACACGCCAGTGCTCATGCCTTTCAAGGTACTCGTCACAGCTGTGTGTACGCTTGTATGTGTGCGAGAGAGAGAGAGATTAATCGTATGTCTAAAACAGTAATTTCTCATTTAATGCGTTAGATGCATTCCTGGAAAATGCCTCTTTAAGCGAGAATGCTTTAAACGCTGAATTGATGAATACACGTTACGGGGCACAAATAAATAAAGCAATGCAAATTTGCATCGCATTTGTACTATACAATCAGCCTGCAGTCATCCCACGACGGGACAAATAACTGACACGAGGGTACACCGCGTACTATATCATTCCGTGCATATGCCCAGAATTCCCATACCGCTCAGCCGCGCAGCTCAAGAAAGTAGTTTGTCGTCGACCACTCAGAAAGCGCGTTATAACGGTGCGCGTTCCACGTTATGACGGGCGCGTACTGTGCTGTGTGCGAAAAGTGTTCCCAAACAGAGGAGCTGTGCTATGGTGAAAACGCATTGCCGTGAAAACGCGTTTAGCGAAGACTTATGTTCAAGACATAGGGAGAGATTTTGTTGATAAACCTTTGGTCAAATTACCCGGAATGCGCCCCATCTCGTCAGACCTCGGCAGCTTTGCAGAGTTGAGTCTGGATAACACTTGGATGGGTGACCACCACGAACTAACAGGCTGGCATAAGCTGTGAGGCTACATGGAGGGCACAATAGGACAGTGCAGTAAAGTACATTGTTATATTGTACTTCTATGCTACCAGGTCTGTGTTCTTCACCTTGACCAACCCGCATTGACCAGCGTGGTGAAGTACGTTCAAATAACCCCCACGGCCTACATGGCATGATGAAGCCCTTGTCCAGCAGTGGATTGGCAAAAGAGCTGTGTGTTGATTCATATTTCTAAAGAGAAAAGAAGTTGCGATGCAATTATTGACTCATAATTAATCTCCACTGTGTTGCGCTGGGTTGAGTGTTGTGCCTTTTCGCATTTTGATTTCACTCCCGAAGTTACGTATGCGCTTTGGCAATGTGCATTGTGCAGTGCACGACATATGCTCTGTGTCGTAAGCTGTGCGTCTCATGTTGCATACCATCGTCATGTGCCACGCGGAGTGTGCTGTGCGTCATGCGGTGTTCTTCATGTTATCGAAAGAACAACTTGTCGTCGCCTTTAAATGATCAAAATTGCAGTTCTTTGGGTTCATCAATTTTTTTTATTATTAAAATCCACCATACATGGTACCATTTGGTGGAGGCTATAAAAATAGGGTGCCCAATGAAGACTTGGATTAAAAACATTGTCCAATGGATGGGCTTAACCACAATCAGCTGATTTAAAACTATTATTTTTTTATCATACCAAGTAAGGCCCCAGTGAGCTATACAGCTCTTTTTCAGATGCGACCTGGCCACAAATGACAGCTCATCGAAGTGGCTTATCACGTGGAAAGGTAGAGGGTGATCATAACCAGAGCCGCCAACATGGCGCTTTGTAATTGTAGTCGCCAGTTTTATTGTATTGTTTTTGTGCTTTGCTCTACCTCAAGTTCCGCGAGCGCAGGGAGCCTGTGGACTGGCGGCGTCTGGGCGCAGTGGACGTGGAGCGCGTGGCTCGCGAGGTCGACGTCGCCACGCTACAGGCAACTGACGCAGCCTCCTCCAATTCCCTCCACTCACACACATTGCAGCCATCTTCTGTCTGTCATAGCCTTCAGCAGCTAGACGACGTGTAGCCTTTATCAAAATCAACCCGAGTGTACTCGGTCCGGTTGATTTTGTTAAACTCAGCTGGATTTGAGTCTGATGACTAATATGTGTAAAACATGTGTTTTCGGTTTCTGCATAGGGCAGTGCAGCATTGGGCAGTGCAGCAAAATCCAGTTTTGTAATGTACTATGCTCTTTGGTTCTATTCGGTAAAGTCACGTAGGTATAAAATAAAACAACAAAAATCACGACGTTTCGGCCACAACACAAGCGGCCTTCATCAGGTGAAGGGACCAGGCTGTCTCGAGGACAGCGCTGTCCTCGAGACACGTGCTATGCTGCATTTTAGTTATTAGCTTCCTACCCTCCTTTTTCCAGCATCGATGTTTTGACATGGGAATTTTTAGCTTTTTTTGCTGCACGCTGACCTCAAGTTTCGAGTTCAAGTTTAATCTCCTTTAGATATCATGCAAGTTTTTTTTACACTTACCAACTACGGTTTAAAGCATTAATGCGATAGCTCTGTCTGTAACAGGGAGGCACATTAACTCAATAAAATGTTCCAATGTGAACCAACCTGTAGTATAAAGTAGCATTGAAATTATGTACTTACCCGATAGAAAACCAGTCAAATTGTTCAATGGATAACTTAAAACGTAGAGACACAACCGGAGAAAAGAGGGCTCTTTGCAAAAATACAAACACATTTGACCCTGACAGCTGTCCATTGGCATCCCTACCGCTAATTCCTTGCGAAAACAAACGTGCGTTGGAAAGCATTACATAATCCACGCTATGTTTTATTGTTTTATTAACTAGTTTTGAGTTGCTCCTTCCCGTAATCTCCACGGCGGCGGTGCGTGCTTTCCCCACTCACAGGAGTACATCACGACAGTGACGTACTGCGATGTGACCAGCGAGCGCTGCGCACGCTGCCAGGCGCCCGCCGACCCGCTGCTCGTGAAGCTGCTACGGTTGGCCCAGCTCACGGTCGAGTACCTGGTGCACACGCAAGGCTGCCTGGGCGCTGGCGCGCACGCCGCGCACACACGCACGCAGGTAAACAGCTCGACTTCGGGGCACGGGTAATTGCAGCACTGGCGTCTGTAGCAGGGAGCACTTGATAGGAAGAAAATCACCTCCACAAAAAGGAAATGGCTCTTATCTTGCGCGTACCAGCAGAGATTAATTTCATCCAGGTTACTGACCGGCAATTGTTTTTTAATTCTTGCACCCAGCACACCACCGAAAGGCACGGTTGGCTGCGTACGGTGCGAAGGAAGTTCGACATACATGTTGGTCACGTGCTTACTCCAGTCTACCAGCGACCCGGAAAATATTGAGGAATTAAACTTTGCATACCAGGCATATAACCATGCATCGTTTAATTAATAAAAATAGCTTATTGTACTCATATATAATACATGAATTAGTTTTTAAGTACAGGTAGTCCCCGAGTTACGATGGTGCGACTTAACGATATTTCGATCTTACGATGGCGATTAGCGATACGACAAAATTGCCATCAACAACCTAACATCGTTCAAGTATGCAGACGACGGACAGAATCTTGGTGAGTACAGTACAATATGATACGTTACGATACGTTCAATGCATGTATGATACGTAGCTTTAGCCATTTCATTTCAGGGTTACCACGACACGATACATACGTTCAATGCATGTTAAAAGTTTTTATAGCAGATAGGATTGTTTCCTGAAAAAAACTTTTTATTAAATTGCAGTTCATATAGGTAGGCTAAGAATTTACCTTGTTTTTTTACTTTCCATTTTACTGTGCAATGCAGTATTGTTTTTAATCAATACATACAGTATATAGTTTATACAGTACAGTACTGTAAATTGCTCTGTTTTACTAAATTATCACCATTCTTTAAGACTTCTGGGTAGGCTAGGCCATCTTCGACTTACGATATTTTTGACTTACGATGGGGTCGTCGTAACGCATCTCCATCGAAAGTAGAGGACTACCTGTATATTATTTATGTGAATCATATGCAGATATAATTATATGCAGCTGTGGGGCTGTACTACATGGCGGTCAGCGGAGGATGGTGCAGCAACATTCTTTGTTCTACTGTACTTCTGTGCCCCCACATTTATGCTCATTGCCTTCATCAACGTGCACTCTCCAGAGTAGTGAAGTATGGTCAATAACCCCCACTACCCGCATAGTGTGGCAAGTCTCTTACCCAGCAGTGAGTTTACCAAATGGTTGAGCACGTCTATGTGTTTGTAGTGCTTCTTTATTTTATTGTCTCATTTGTAGAGTGTTAATTCAATTCGACTGATTTATTGAACTACACTACCAACATATGATACATTATATGGGTTTTATCTTCCTTTAATTAACAAAACAATGGAAAATCTACTTTAAGTTCATTGTACAACTGACCACAGGGACTTGCACTAACTGGGAATCAATGTACATGGAACCTTAAACACATTGTACCTTGGAGAAGTGGAATGACGTATACATGGGACCTTGAGCAAACTTGTACTTAGGGCACAGAATCTGACGTAAAGTGCACACGCGAACATGTTGCACAGGAATCAGGGCACACCCAATGTGTGAGTCTCGGTGAAACCCAGCAAACTAGGACACGCAAAGACACAAGAGACAAAGGATATGGAAAACATGGGATCCAGGTCACATGAGATCGAAGACACGCAGAACCTGAGATGCAAGGAACACACTGTATTCAGGACATGTGGGATCTAAGACATAGTACCTGGGGCACACAATACCTGGGATGAATTGAACTTAGAAAAGATAGTACTCGAAACACAAGTGACTGAGAAGATATGGAACCCAAGATGCATGCGGAAAATAGAGTAGGGGAGCGGGTTAGGCTGGGCAGGATAAACTGCCCAAAATGGCTGCATGGGTCCTAATGTTTTTGTCCGTGGCTCCAAAAGCCTTTTAATCAGCCCTGGACACAGGAGACCTGGGAAACACCTGATCTGGGACACACATCCTGCATATCTAGGTCAGGAACACATGGCGATCAGGACGCGAGGCGACACGAGTTGACATGTAGCTTAGTTGCTCACGAAAAGCACTTTCTTTTCTGTAAGGCTAAACCGAGGAACGTTTGCTTTTGTGGGCACGCACGCAGGGTCTAGCGGCGGAGCTGGGCCGTGCCCGAGCCGACGCGGAACGCCTTGCCGAGGAGCTCAAGGCCGCGCGCGACGAGTGCCGCCGCAGGAAGAAGTTGGTGGCGGCGTTGCAGCTCATGCTGCAGGCCAACGCCAACCACTACCACAAGGTGCCCACCGCCATGCAGGCGCTCGCCCCAACCCACTCTGTCGCCCGTGACTTGGACTCGGTTGCCCAACTGACCCGGGCAGCCCGGTTACTGGGGTCACCGTAATATGGCGATGCAGCGAATTAAGGTCTGTGATAAGCATATCGTCCATTTTGCCGAATATTGTTGCGTTTTGATAATGGTTGCCCATCACATTTTTTGTAATATTTGCTGTTTTTCTTTTTAAAGCAACCACGTGTTTGTTCGTTATGGTGCTTTGAAAATAGAGCAAAGCACAAAGATAATACAATAAAAATGCCCCGTTCAGTAATAAAAGCTTAGAAAACTGAAATTGCAATGATCATCATATTGTAAAAACTGATACAGGGTTTGTGTGGAACAAATGAATAAGAGGTTTGTAGGGGTCAGCAATAAGGGGTCTGTGAAAGTCAGAGTGGGTTGCCATTCGGACTCTGAAAGATCATGAGAGTTTTTGTCTGCACTTCTGCCCATCTGAACGTCCAACACTGGTTTGACAACAAACATCATTATGTCTAGATTTGAAGCTTTCGTGACTGCAAGGATTCATACTCTTTGTTTTTTTTCGGTAAAGTCACGTAGGTAAAATAATTTAAAACAACTAATTTAGTTGCTTTCTTTTATAAACATCAGTATGGCCTGTATGTAGATTACTATAAAAAATATAATGCCATTCTGTCTCATAGAGGTCCGAAGCATGGTCATATACAGGTCGACGATCCCTAATCTACATAGGCTGATGCTTAACATATGCACCCCGTAGTTATCCAGGATTTCATTAAAAGTTCTGTATTCCAGGCATGTCTTAGCATAACCTGGATTATAATATTGTACAGACTGCTAAAGCTTCATTGTTATCATCATCAGCCATGAATCAATCTTCTAATGTGGGAAGACCTCTCCAAGCCGTCGTCATTCTCTCATGGTCCTTTGGTGTAACATTTTAGGGGTGCCATGGTAGCGAGATGTTAATGACCTCACCTGGTCTATAGAAGGTCGTGGATTTACCGAAAGAACCAAAAAGCAATTCCTGCAGTCACGAAAGCCCCAAATCACATTTGGAGTTTGCTTGTGGTCACGTTCAATTTTATCTGGGTCCTCCCAGTTTTTCTCTCCATATTTAGAAACTTGCGTATAAAGTATTTGGCTGCTATAAATTTCCACATGATAAGCCACTTCGTTGGGTTATCATTTGTGGCCAGGTCACTTGTGCAAAATGAATGATATAGCTCAGTGGGCTTTACCTGGTAAAAGAAAAAGAGTTTAGTTTAATAGTTTTTAGTTTTCATATTGCACCTGCACACGAGCTGATATTTCATCACTCAATCTCCGTCTTCTGGGTGTGTTCCCTTATTTGGCTTCCACTCCATAATTATTCCCGACGACCAGAAATTATCCCTTCTGGCAAAATTTCCTACCAAAGCTCACATTTCATGTCGAATAGTGCACAAATACGCATGGAAAGGTGTATGCTTGGGACTACATTGAGAGATAGAAAGCGGAACATGTAAATTAGAGAGCATACGCAAGTTAGATTTATCATATTTATAAAGCTTATATATACATATATGGAAGTGAATGTTAAACTCTTTGATAAATAACTTATGATATTTCATATGTTAATAATTTTGATACTGGCAAAAAAGGGTCCCATAGATATAGTACATGGAATTAATTTCAGTGACATCAGATTGATCAGTTTCATGAATTTTCACCCTCTGGTGCCACGAACATAAGTCTCAGCCACCAGATGGGTCCATTTGGAGCTTTGCCCCTAGGGTGGGTACGCATGAATGCATGGGCACATGAGGCCATGCACTCGTGACATTAAAGCGGAAGCAATTGCCTTTTTCATGGTTGATTAAAAAAACCATCGTGTTTTAACGCCGAGCCTCGCTGCCCCGCCGCACACGATCACGTCAAAAGCGAGCGAGCGTGTGCAGCCATGCGACGCAGTGCATGCATGGAAGAGAAGCCGTCTTCAGACTCCTCACACCGAGGGTGGGAAACCTGTCCATTGCTGAGGGCTGTATACGTAGCGGTAAAGGTGTAGCCCCACAGTTTCTTGTTCACACCACTGCTGATGGAAAGGCCTCTACTAGAAGGAGATCTAGAGAGACCCTCTACCAGTAATTTTGGCCTACTGTTCCATGCTGACCTGATGTCTTGAAAAGAGGTGGGAGTACCCGCACTTTACCCTACCACTCGCTGATCGACTAACTGTGGACTTTTCATTATACTGTTGGGTAGACAGAGGCGGGAAAATTGATTAAACTTGCCAATTGTTTCAACTGCTGCGCTGGGAGAACGAAGCAGCGACTAGATTGAGAGTCCAGGGTTCTAACTCTTAGAACACATCAGCATTCTGAGGGCTGAAGAGGGCTTACAAATACCTTTGGTGGGCCATGCATTTGATCACACTCGGACTCTGTTGCATTGATTGTGTGCTCAGAACTACTTGAAAGAGAGAAGGTGACTGAACACGCTAAACGTAGAAACACAATGTTGCCAGGTCGAAAATATATTCCTCTCTAGTACCTGAGTAGTGCAGCCGAGATGCTTCCAATGATGCATTAATGTTGTTGCTGCACCATTCCAAAGTGGTAGTGCTCATGTGACCCTAGGTCGCATGATATAAAGTCATAGGTTCCTCATCTTTGTATTACACCATGTGACTGCCTGCATTGGACGCATGGCTGTGCTGAGAACGCCACTGACCTTTAAAGGCCTCTCTCCCCGGGGTGGCGTAGGGTGGGGCACGCATGGACGGGGGTAGATAGGCGGATAATGTCTGTCCGTGGACTACGGAGCCGGTTTTCTGTGATACGGTTAACGCTACGTGACAATACAATTTACATGCAGTCCGTCTTTGAGATCTGGAAAGCTTCACTGACATTCATTCAGGTTGCGAGTTCAAATCCTAGTCTGGGGTTTGCCCTCTAGGTTCGATAAAACAAGTACCCCTCTGTGGTAAGTCAGTAGTGGTTGTCCTACTGAGAGACTGGTCCACTCCATAGGAATGTGGAATTTCCACCACAGCTCCATGGCCCCCAACAGATTAGCTCCACTTGACGCAGTTATCTGGCTTGACCACCTGAATGTGAAATTGTAGTTGTTCTGCATCGACATCAGCCATACGAAAGAAGAATGCTCCTTTGAACATGGAGACACTTGAACTTAATTATTTGGGAGAGCCTCACTGAGTATCCGATCACTGAGTTTCCACTCAACCACTCGAATACTGTGCCTACCTTAAGAGGTGCTTACTAACAGCATCTAAAATGCATCTCACCAGGGCTCCTTGTGTGTGCCTGTATGTATGCGTGTATGCAGTGCCAGTTTTGTGACAAGGCCTTCATGAACTATGCCTACCTTCAGAGCCACGTGGAGCGCAGACATCAGGAGGTCACAGAAGGAGGTACCTGGGCACATACACACACAGAAAGACCTGAAGCAAAAGAACAAGCCTTAATTTAGCCCTGCAGACCATATGAACGAATGAATGCTGTTTGTGAACACCTATGAAGGTCTGCACATCACATGAGGGGATTTTATGGCCGGAATCACACCCAGTTGCCTTTTGCTTCCCCAGTGCTGATGTTTACACACCACGCTCATTTAAGGCTGAGTTGACCGAGGGGAGGCCTAGGGCCGGCTCAGATATCACTCACCACTGATGTTAGCCATGGCTGGGAATCAAACAAATTCTAGATTTAAAGCTTTCGTGACTGCTAGGATCCATACTCTTTGGTTCTATTGGGTAAAGTCACGTAGGTGAAAATAAAATAACAAAAAATCACGACGTTTCGGCCACAACACAAGCGGCCTTCATCAGGTGAAGGGACGAGACTGTCTGGAGGACAGCGCTGGAGTGGAAGAAGCCACGTCGTTATCTAAGCGTGGCTTCTTCCACTCCAGCGCTGTCCTCCAGACAGTCTCGTCCCTTCACCTGATGAAGGCCGCTTGTGTTGTGGCCGAAACGTCGTGATTTTTTGTTATTTTATTTTCACCTACGTGACTTTACCCAATAGAATCAAACAAATGTCAAGTTTGTAATACAGTGCACAGACCACCTAACCAACACTAATCCAACCCTATAAAAACAAAGACCCCCCCACATATCCTTAATAGACCTTTGGGGAAAGTGCTGTTAGCGAGCATCTATGAAGGCCAGCACGGCACACGAGGGGGTGGGTGACCAGCACCATGCCTGGCCACCTTTGTCTCCATAATGGCTACCTTTTCCAACACAGACACACAACTGGAGGGCCAACCGTTGTATGATATGGCACCACATGCTGTAACGCAAAAGTGGTAGCGCGTCCGTCCATCTGTCATTGTGCCGCGTGCTTGCAGAGCGCCAGAAGAAGCGTCGGGTGGAGAAGCTGGAGGATGAGCTTGAGGGACTTAGGGATCAGCTGAAGCACACGCAGGGCGACCTGCAAAACGAGAGGGAGGCGCAAGCCTTGTTAAGCCAAAAGGTATGAGAGCAAAGACGGATTTCCGTCATATACCATTTACAGTGACAGACCTTCACTCATGCTCCTCTTGCTGCCTTCCATTGCCTGGAACTTCCTTTTCAAGTCTGGGCTCAAGACCTTTTTTTTTCTTCTGCCTCTCTGTATAAAATAAATATGCCCACTGTCTATGCGCAGTGTCTGCAGATGCAGTCGCAATTCGATGCTGCGTGTGTCCAAATTGTATATGATAAAGTGACGAAAAGATTCCTCGCTCAATAAATAATAATATACAGTCTTTTTTCAATCCATGCTGGGTGAAGGCATCTTCACGCCATGCCTGTCATACTTCACCACACTGGTCAGTGCAGGTTTTTGAACACGGTGATTAACGCTTTGCGCTGCAAACGTGGCAGCCAGAGTCCGATTCTAAGCATAAGATAACACCAGTAGTGAGTGATGCCAGACATAGTCCTGGACCCCCTCTTCCTCACCGCTTTCACCAACGCAAAATTAACAAATTTGGCACTTTTTAGTCCCACAGTTCAATATGAACAGGTGTTGGCACCACACGCCCAAAGACAAAGATCCCCCCTATATAGCCTTAACAGACTGTTGGGGTAAGTGCTGTTAGCGAGCACCTATCAAGGCCGGCATGGCACATGAGGGGATGGATGGCCTGCAACATGCCTGGCCGCCTTCGTCTACCTAGTGCCAAGGTTAGACACCATGCCAGGTACTCAGTGAGGATGTGTCGACCTTGGGGAGATGCAGGACAAGTTCAGATGTTTATCACTGGTGTTGGCCGTGAACAGAAAACGGAATTCGGGTTGTCGGATTCGCCGCTGTACTGCCGCTCCCCACGCACGCACGCACGCACACTTGCGCGGGCACGCTCACGCTGACAGGATGACGCGTGCGTACGTGCTTGCGTCCCACAGGAGCAGGAGGCGCATCGCGAGCGTGAGAGAGGCGTGCGGGAGTGGCAGGAACGCGAGCGCAAGGCCGTGCACGGGGAGGTGCAGCGCACGCGCGAGGACCTGCAGCGTGAGATCAGCGTCCTCAGCAAGCAAAATGTGGCCCTAGAGTTGGTGAGCAACAGTGCTGGGCGACATGAGCAACGATAGGACATCAATATCAATGACCAGCTCCTGTGTATGCGACCTCGATGGTATCGCGTCATAGGTCATGGTGATGCATTTTCTACAAACCACAACGGCCGATGCTGCCGATTCACTTACCTTCAGCTGTGTCATAGGTAGTCGACCCTGATTAAAAAGTGAAAAAAAATTACCCCTGACCCTCTCAACATTATTTAAGTTTGTGTGTGTGTAACTATGAGCTACTCAGTTGTTGGGCATTTATGATGTCGGTAACCTACGCCGATGCAGATCACTGCTCTCTGATGAAGAGCGCTCCTGGCATCGGCTGAGTGGGTGGCCGAGGTCGGGGTCATTTGAACATTGAGGCCATACAAGGCGATGACTCACTGCCGAACATGCACGCGTAAACACGCTCGCGCAAGCGCACGCGACGTGAGTGGCACTGGTTTTTTAAAAGTACACGCGCAACCATTTATGTCGATCCACTAATGTGGCATAACATGATTGGCAGGGGCCTTGGGGGGAGGAATGAGATGGGCACCCCCCAAACTGTCCAGTCTCTGCTCCTCTTTGTAGCCCAGCACGTGGTTCCCAGGGGGAATTTCATCGCTTACACACTCCATATTTGTGGGTGTTTTCGCATGTGCAGCGTGTGCAGGAATTGGGGAAAAGCCGCACAGAGGATGATATGGCGAAGCAGAACAACAGCTTAATGGCCCTGAAGGAGCAGCTGCACAAGCAGGCAAGTACTTGTGCATGTATAGCTCTTTCGTCAGTCAACTGCTGAGTAAGAGTGTCCTCACTTTGTGTGGATTGTGGGGGCTGTTTGATGACCAAACATCACACTGATAAGTTGCGGGTTTGTGAAGGCAGGCAGCATAGAAGGAGAGCATAGAATTACAATACAACAATAGATTTTCCTGCACTGCCCTTTGATTACAACGTGTACCCCACAGCAGCCTATCACAGCTATTTTATGCATGATGGTCACCCATACAAGCACTCTCCGGCATAAACTTTTGCTTAGCTTCCTGAGTCTGATGAGATCCGGTGCATCTCTCATATTTTGGTCTTAGGGAGGCAAGTGCTTACTGGTTGTGAAATTGACTTGCAATGATTAACATGTCTTTTGACCAAACCACCCTTATACAAATAATATAAGGCCACTGGAAAGTTGGATAGAGCGGTTGTGCAGTGATGAGCTCACGATACTGTGAACCCGACAACCTGGCCACACCTGAAATCAGTGGTGAGTGGTAGCTTAACCGATCCTCGCACCTCCCCCACACCACTTCACAAACCCGCATCGACCAGCGTGGTCAAGTATGATCATACAACCTCCATGACTACAATGGCATGGAGATGCCTTCATCCAGCAGCGGATTTGTAAAGGGTTATGAATTATTATTAATCACTGAAACATCTGGTTGGGTGGCATTGTATGATGACCATTCACTTCACAATCTTTAGGTCATGAGTTCAAATCCCAGTTTGGGATTGTTATGCTTTTGCAGACATCTAAGGGGGTTAGGGTCAGGCAAGTTCCTAGTGAGATTGCTAAAAATAAAACCGGGGGTCTCCTGAGGTTGCACAAGACAGGCTGAAAATCTGTCTCTTCCCATTCCAAGTGCTTTTGTGCTTCTCCAGGGCTTTATAAAAGCAGTGTTGCCAAACTTGGCACGGCTGAATTGCCCAGTGCTGTGCTTTGTTGTTAATCCCGCTAATTAACATTCCACTGGGTTGTGTTTTCCATGACAAAGACCAGAGAAGCGGTGTCATCTTGCTCGCAATAAAATTTGCATTGCATGGGTTTTTGTGTACATTGTATATTGTCGTGCAAGCTGGATATTATTTCCAACCGTAATTAAACATTAGTGGCAAGTGCTATTCTACCCCAATCAATTTAGCTTTAAATCAGTATCTCCCACAGTTTGAAAAGACAAAAGGTGGGTAGGCGTGGGTGCTGGCTACATACTACGTCTGCTTGTGCTGTGTACCTCATTAAGTAATCGCGAACAGTATTTGCCCTTGCAGTCTGTAAAGCTGAATGTGTTTTGTGTATGTGTATGGACAGCTGTTGGTTCAGATTTGCTGCAATCTTAATAGTCTAAATTATGTTCCTAATCTTGTATATCATGAGCACATAGTGCTCTAACCACTCAGGTGCAGTCCAGACTGCCACATGCATAATTGACATGCTCCATACTGATAATAAAGTATTAAAGCTTTCGTGACTGCATAAATTACTCATTGTTTTTTTCGGTAAAGTCACGTATGTAGAAATACAAGAGCTGGTCCTTTTTTGAGCTTCCCCCTCTCTCTCTCTCTGCCTCCCTGTCCATCTTTCCTCCCTCCTTACCTCTTGGTGGACTTGTATATGTATTTCTACTGACCGTGTACCTCGTATTTATCATTCTATCTATGCTGGTATGTGCAATCCAAAGGTTGAACACGAAATTTAACACTCTTCTGAAATTCGTGGTCTGCCAGGAAGTGTCTAACTGTGTTGTTGGCCTGACTGGATGTGCTTCACGTAATGTTTTTTCAGGTTTGTTGAATTCTCGTCTCTCATCTTTTTGTTGTATTTACCTCCGTGATTTGTTCTTGACACCTGATGAAGATCGCTTGCGTTGTGATCGAAACGTCGTGATTGTTTTTTGTTTTAATATAATTTTATTGTATTTCTACATACGTGACTTTACCGAAAAAACCAATGAGTATGCTCCATACTGGTCAATTTGACAAGCGGTGCACCCAGCAAAAAAATGTTTGAGGGGACGCATTGCAAAAAAAGCTGCATATGTATTTCGCTTAACCGATTTGCACGATAATAGTGCTTTTGAAAAACAAATATGATTGCATAGTTTCCATTAAACAAATTAAATTGAAATGAACATTGAACATTGATTAATTATTTTAAGTTTTACATCTTTAAAATAATCAATGATTTGCAATGGCCATCTAACATCTAACAAATGTCACTTTCATTAACCCCCACGCGAGTGTGCCTCTGATGCCGACCACAAGCTCCAGCTTCTCACTAAGCCCTTTTGTTATCATAAGCGTCTGTCGATATCCTGTTATGTCTTCTAGAACACGAAGATGCAAAGTCTGCAGAATAAACATGAGCGTGAAAAATCTCAGGTACTTATGCATCCATGCAAACAGGGACGCGTCCACTCTAGCACAAGCAAAAGTTGTATAAACTTAGGAACACCTTGCACCCGTCAAGAATTATAAGAACGCCCGAGTTAGGCTGCATTGGCTATGTATTGTTAGTGCCAGCAACCCAGATATATGGGATGACATTTTTAATGTTTGAAGTGGGAACTGTGCTTCTGTTTTGCGCTCAAAAGAAAAAACTGATCAGGTCATGGTCCAATGGTCGTGCTTTAACCGCTTATTGCAAAGGTTCACGGTTCAGATCCAGCAGCTGCCTTGGGTAATACTGCGGGGTGTGTTAACCGTTAAAATACATCTCGTCTGCTTCACGGAGGGCTTTAAAGATTCCATGACATCATTTGCAGGGTAGGCCATTTTGTGCCGGCTTCATGATCCAAATTTGTCAAATTGAAAATTTCCCGCAAACTGCTCAATTGGAATTATACGTAGCAATCATTGCCCCCCCTACTGGCACACTGTTGCCTGCTTGCAGGGCAGGTGCTGTGTCACCTTGTGCCCACAGAGACAGCTGCCACTGGGGGTTCCTTTTAAACGTTTGAAATGAGATGTGATGTCAATTGCCCTGAGACATCCCAGCGTGCAGAATGTTATATCAAAAACAAATGATTATTTACATGAGATTGATGTCTAGTGGAACATGGGGTTCCAATAGAGATGTGGTTGTTCTTGAGGGGTGTTGTGGATGATAGTTTTCCATTTGTAAGAAAGCATACAAAGCTGTTTCATATGTTACTACCAAGGTAGGACAGTAAATACTTGTTCAAAGTAGATGAGAGCCTATCGATAAATCACCAATGATGGTGCGGTATACTTGGCGACCTGCAGAGCAACAAAAGCAATATCGTTCCGACAGTTGCTGTGCTGCCACTCAGTAAAGGTTGCTAAGGATGGAGCGGTGGCACAGTGGTTAGCCAACTATGTGCTGTAATCTTGATTTGAAGCTTTCGTGACTGCAAACTTAATTATATTTATGACCATGGCTAACATCACTGGCGAGCGATATCTGAACAGGTCCTGTGCCCCTTCACGAACCCACACGTACGAGTGTGGTAACATAGTTTGGCTCAATTCCCATGACTGACACAGCATGGAAAAGCCTTCTTCAGTCATTGGAATTTAAGGGCCACAACGTTTGAATGGCGGTATGTGCGTGCATTCAGATGCAGCGAGACCTGGATTCGCTGCACGATTCCCTTTCAAATGACCAGAAGGCTATGAGCACTCAGCTTTCGGAGCTGCGGAGGCTGGTGAAGGAGCGAGATGCCCTCATCCGCGAGCAGAAGCGCAAGGTGCCCACTTTGTGATTGCATATTAGCCATTATTAATCCGCTGCTGGATGGAGTCCTTCCCAAGCGGTCGTCATTTCTGACGATCTTCTGATGTAATAATCCACCCCCTACCTCTGCAACTCAGCTGTTTAATCGCTCCATTTCCCCGGTGGACATGCCCTGGGCGAGATAGAAGACAAGGGTAATATAAATCACTTGTAATCGAAATTATGCAAATGTAATTATTGTTTATCTTCATAGAATGCATCGTCTATTTTAAGCGATATCTTTGAAACATGATAAAGGTAATGGAATCACGATTCCTGTCTGTTAGCACTTTAACGGCCTCAAATTTTAACTGATTTTAACAGATGTACCAAACATTTATAGTTAAAATGATCCCTCTTGTTGGGTGGAAAATCTGACAACTCGAAACAAAATGGCGGCCATTTGGCTGCCATTTAAAGAACTTGAAATCTGAACCTCAACACATCTAACCTATAAAACTCCTATAACTGCAATTTTACATCTCATGCCCCCCGTTTGAGCCCCCAAAATACACATTCTAATGCATTGTTGAGGTAATTCATGATTACTATATACTAATTGTGACATTAATATGTGATATCTGTAATGTGTTTATATGATTTTGTGGTAAATGTAACTCAATAAAGACGTATGAAAGTTATGAAAACGATTATGAACGCAATACAGCACTTACACGCGTTCAGATTTGCGTTGTTTCTTAAACTAATATTTTCCGTCATGTGGGCACTTATCAGTGTCCCTCAACGTGTGAGCAGTGTAAGGAGATGCTCATAATATAACCAGCATTCGTGCGAAATACGTGATTTGTTTTTACGTAAGCATGGTTAATTTGTATCCTGGATAAACTTCCAACGGGTAATCGAGTTGACTGCATTTGATTAAATGCAACTTGAGAATCAACTGTTCTCCATATAATGGGGGGTTTTCTGAAATATTTTTGTTCAAACAGATTCAAGGTCTTTCTTCGACAAGAGTGGAAAGTGAGTATCTTTTTAAAACTCTTCTAACTTGAATGCACATGCATAGTACGATCATATACAGTGAGAGAAAAAAGTATTTGATTCCCTGCTGATTTTGTACGTTTGCCCACTGACAAAGAAATGATCAGTCTATAATTTTAATGGTAGGTTTATTTGAACAGTGAGAGACAGAATAACAACAAGAAATCCAGAAAAACGCATGTCAAAAATTTTATAAATTGATTTGCATTTTAATGAGGGAAATAAGTATTTGACCCCCTCTCAATCAGAAAGATTTCTGGCTCCCAGGTGTCTTTTATACAGGTAATGAGCTGAGATTAGGAGCACACTCTTAAAGGGAGTGCTCCTAATCTCAGCTTGTTACCTGTATAAAAGACACCTGTCCACAGAAGCAATCTATCAATAAGATTCCAAACTCTCCACCATGGCCAAGACCAAAAAGCTCTCCAAGGATGTCAGGGACAAGATTGTAGACCTACACAAGGCTGGAATGGGTTACAAGACCATTGCCAAGCAGCTTGGTGAGAAGGTGACAACAGTTGGTGCGATTATTCGCAAATGGAAGAAACACAAACTAACTGTCAATCCCCCTTTGGCCTGGGGCTCCATGCAAGATCTCACCTCGTGGAGTTGCAATGATCATGATAACTGTGAGGAATCAGCCCAGAACTACACGGGAGGATCTTGTCAGTGATCTCAAGGCAGCTAGGACCATATTCACCAAGAAAACAATTGGTAACACACTACGCCGTGAAGGACTAAAATCCTGCAGCGCCCGCAAGGTCCCCCTGCTCAAGAAAGCACATATACATGTCCGTCTGAAGTTTTCCAATGAACATCTGAATGATTCAGAGGACAACTGGGTGAAAGTGTTGTGGTCAGATGAGACCAAAATGGAGCTCTTTGGCATCAACTCAACTCGCCGTGTTTGGAGGAGGAGGAATGCTGCCTATGACCCCAAGAACACCATCCCCACCGTAAAACATGGAGGTGGAAACATTATGCTTTGGGGGTGTTTTTCTGCTAAGGGGACAGGACAACTTTACCGCATCAAAGGGACGATGGACGGGGCCATGTACCGTCAAATCTTGGGTGAGAACCTCCTTCCCTCAGCCAGGGCATTGAAAATGGGTCGTGGATGGGTATTCCAGCATGACAATGACCCAAAACACACGGCCAAGGCAACAAAGGAGTGACTCAAGAAGAAGCACATTAAGGTCCTGGAGTGGCCTAGTCAGTCTCCAGACCTTAATCCCATAGAAAATCTGTGGAGGGAGCTGAAGTTTCGAGTTGCAAAACGTCAGCCTCGAAACCTTAATGACTTGGAGAAGATCTGCAAAGAGGAGTGGGTCAAAATCCCTCCTGAGATGTGTGCAAACCTGGTGGCCAACTACAAGAAACATCTGATCTCTGATTGCCAACAAGGGTTTTGCCACCAAGTACTAAGTCATGTTTTGCAGAGGGGTCAAATACTTATTTCCCTCATTAAAATGCAAATCAATTTATACAATTTTTGACATGCATTTTCTGGATTTTTTGTTGTTATTCTGTCTCTCACTGTTCAAATAAACCTACCATTAAAATTATAGCCTGATCATTTCTTTGTCAGTGGGCAAACGTACAAAATCAGCATGGGATCAAATACTTTTTTCCCTCACTGTAGATACATGAGTGAATTGCCGTATAATGTCAGTGTAATTTGGTATTGAAGCCTAAAACTTCCACTAAGTCATCTCAGCCTAAAATTTGTAATGATAAGTACGGGGGGTTGAACGTAAATGATGGTGCGGCACAGGTGGGCAGACATGCGTAGTGCCGGCAACGCAACTCTGCGTAGCACTTTCAACCCTAATGGATGTTTGCACATGAAATCTGCCCCAAATATTTATTCAGGCTGAGGTATCTTCGACGTTTATGTGTATGCATGTATGGAAGACATCTGGAGGAACACAGAATCAATAACCTAAAAGCAAATGAAGTTGTTTTTTTCTTATAAATTACATCAGAACCCCAGATAGAGTCTGAAGAGGAGGAGGAAGAAGAAGAGGAGGAAGAGGCTGAGGAAGAAGGTGAGATTATAGTTTACCAAATGAACATGTGTCCACATTTCCGAGTTTATTTCTTGCAGATATTTTTTTTTCTAAAATCTAACAGCAGTCAATTTATTATTAAGTAAATGAGCAGGTAATGGGGTTTGTTTTAAACAAATTAAAATAAACAAATTTTAGTCTTCTAAGCAGTGGGTCATCTGGATAAATGTCTCCCAGTGGCACTTTTTTGACAGGCCACACTGTACGGGTGAGATGAAATCATGTTGAAATATGCTTAAATAGACAAATGTCACTGGGATACATCAGTGTGCAAGGCTCAGAAGTTGATGAATTACCATTTATTTTAATTTGGTGATTATTTTTGATATTAAGAACATATTAGCCCTGTCCATGCCCTAACGTTAACCCTGGCTGTGATGCTCTACCCAGCGTCCTATTCATGTCTGGTGTCTTCCGCACTTTTGTCCGGCTCAAATTGTGCGACTAGTCTTTTCCTCCGCACTTGTACAGTTGCCGCGATATGGCACGACCGCAGGATGACATTTTGTACGATATGTAATCCATTATCATTCTATCGTGCGTATTGCAAAATATTGGTAGTAGCGCGATCTAACCCAAAAAAAAACCTGTATTATGAGCACAATTATCATTGCTCGTTTTTTTTATTATGAATCATTTATTTCCCAACAAAAAGATTATAAAATAACAAACTTAATAAGTTGCAAATATTGATTTAAAGCTTTCGTGACTGCAGGGATTCATATTATCGGTTCTTTCGGTAAAGTCACGTAGAAGGGAAACAATAAAATAAAAAAAATATAAGCAAGGAAAATTTTCTTGCTGTGGTTTTCACACCTGATGATCATTGCTTGTGTTGCAGTCGAAACGTGATAATTTAATTGTTTTATTATTTTATCGTTTCCCTTCTACGTGACTTTACCGAAAGAACCAAGAATAAGTTGCAAATAAATAATTATCTATCTGTTAAATGCATGTTTTGCAAAATGTTTTCCAGAGTAATTTTAAGACAATTATTTAGTTGTTCTTGCAATTATTAAATAAATTCCTCTATTGCCGGCATGTGCGTTATAATAATTACAGGTTGTAATTATTAAAAGTCTGTAGACATGGCAAGCTTATGTTGTGTGAACTGCAGTTGAATTGCTTTATCCCGTGACTTTTATTCGACTGGAAGTTCAGCAACGCACAAAAAACTGTAAATACCGTGAAGCACAATTACAAAGTTATGGGAAACTTATATCACGATAATCGTCATGTCGTGAAAAATGACATCGCGGAAACAGTGGCCTGCTTCTCCCCGTCTGCATTGCAATCAGTGTTTGTTAATGTGATCCAGTGCTTTATTGTGCTATTTTAAAATCATTTTTTGAAAATCCTTTGTGAAACAAATCGACTTGAAATGTGTCTTTTGTTTCTGTACGTTTCTGTGAGAGACAATGACGGGATCCTCGTGGTCCACAAAGAGCCATGCTATTTGGCCTATGAGACTATACAGTTGTCACAAGACCAGGTTAACCATTGCTTACGTGAGATTCAATGACCTTTCAGGTCAGAATCTCCCCCCCCCGCCCCCTCACTCTTAACATTTCAAATTAGCGATCGCATTGTTTGTAATTATACGGCAGTCAATGTACCATCCTTGCAAATGAGAGTTTTGGATTTTGTACTAAATTGCTTTTGCACAAATCTACGTCCCGTCTTCACGTGAAACATTTTTTTAAATGTAAAAACACGGAATGTGTATTAAAAAGTTATTAAAGGTGTGCACGTGCCTCCATAGAAACGTAATGATTTTACGATTTAATCACATTTTTATTAATTCACTCTCGCCCCTCCCTGCTGCCTCGCTTTCCCCCTAACTTGTGTTTACTAACGGCGTTAACACTTCATGTTGTATTTTTTGTATGATGTTGGGGCCTTGTTTACTTTATGTAACATTGACATTTAACAATACATATTTTAAGTTTAACAAATACACTATTTGCATTGTATTGCTGTTTTAATCCACTTCTTAATGTTTTCTTACGTTTATTTATTTTTAACATGTGTTGTATTTTTATTAAGCATGATTTTCCTTTTTAAAATGGTTTCTGGTTTCTCTGAATTTATTTTCTTATTTCCAAACATTCCCAAGTCTCTTCGTCTATATGTGACTTTGTCTTTTTTTTATTTTAAATCCATTTCTGTTCAACCATTTTATTTTAACCGACAACATTTCCCAACCTCTCACCTTCTCCGCGTCTTCTACTCCCTGCCTTTTGATTCTCGCTTCTCGCCGCTCACCCTCTCTGTACCAAATCCGCGCGTCGCGTCGATGGCAGTCGATGCAGAGAGGAGTCTCCAGACGATCACGGAGGCCACGGAAGACGACAGCATCGGTAAAACCATAACGGCTCCTGGCTCCCCTCGAACCTCCCACTGCCCTCAGACTCCTCGCGCTGCCGTTGAGAAATGCTCCTGGGTTTAGAGCTGCAGTTCAGAGTGTTTATTTGGCCATTCGGCATCTTTATTACGTTGGAAGGTAAAGGTGCAGACCTGCAATTTCTTGCTCGTGTCGCTGCTGGCAGAAAGGCCTCCATGAGAGGGAGCTCTAGAGAGCTCCCCTTTTGAGTTATTGGGCCTGATTTTCCATGCCGGCCAGACATCTCGGAGAAGGTGGGCTTAGCCACACTTTACCCCACCACATGCGACTTACGGATTGACTAACTGTGGTGAACTCATTTATACTGCTGGGTGAATGGGGACGGTGTATTTAAGAACGTTGCACCACTGTTTAAATATCCATGCTGTGAGATTTAATCGATCCAGCGACCTCTGGATTGTAAGTCTGGTGTGCTAACCATTACACCATGGAGGCTTGCTAAAGAAGCATTGATTACAAATAATGTCAGCATAGATGACCACTGGCCCATGCTCAATTGAGCTTGAAGACACTTTAACCAGACTCATCGGGCTTCACAGACAGTGGGAATTGGGTGACAAAGAGTGCTTGAAGGAACTTACAGCGACAACATTTTCATGACAATTGCTGTGCATTAACAAGACTGCTCACTCTCGTTACCAACAAATTGCAGTCATTAAAGTAAGCTTGGTTAGCACTGATTAGTGTCACCCAATGTGTTTATTCTTACAGTACTGCCTGGGTCCTGCCACTGCTCTTAAGCTTCCCTCTTTCTCAACTTCCCCTCCTGTTTGACACTCCGTATCCCCATCTCTCTATATTAAACGCAGCCCTCCTCTCGTCATCCATGTCTTACCTATCTCATTCATTCCTTTTCTGAGCACCTCCATATCGTATCCCGTGACCCAGCGATCCCTGACTTTGATTCCTGACCCCCCCCCCCCCACCCTCCTCTTCCCTGCTCTCTGCCATCCTCACCTACTCAGAGGAGCTGGAGAGCTCGGGCGAGCGGAGGCCCCCAGGCCCGGGCCTGCTGCGGGAGCTGCGCGCCAGCCTTCAGAATGCCCTCGATGAAAAGCTGGAGGGCATGGGCGTGCGCCAGGTGAGGGACTGCACCAGCGCTCCTGCCCACAGTTGGGTTTTCATTCATTCGACAGTCCACTTACACTGGTGCATCAAGGAGTGCCACCTATTGTTGCATGAGAGAGGCTTGTTCAGGTGACTCCATAGTGAGAGCTACCATAGAATCTTTCGAGATTGTTCTCTGACAGCTTTAGACGACGGTAATATTAGAGGCCATTCTCTGATGCAAGGGAGTTTAATTATCTCGCAACAGTGTAACTCCAATACCCCAATAGGAATATTAATGGCGAGAGGCGGTCAGTTGGCTCAGAAGTTCAGAACGCTGAGTTGAGATTCTGGGTTCCATCCAGGCAGCCGTCTGACTGTACAAAAAATATCTCATTAATATGGTTTTGCACTTCATTTGGCTAAATTTCAACACTGACAACTGAAACAAAATGTTGACTGCCAATTAACAAACATGACTCTCATGTGGCAGGGCGGATGGGAAATTGTTGCCCCGAGAGATCACTTGAAGGGATCTCTGAGGTAGCTCTGTTATATCCACTTCTGTGAGCTGTTCTCTATCTACTTGGATCTCTCACGGAGAGATAATATATAGGGAAAATTGTATATATATATATATATTTGTTTGAATGTAAGGGAATAATCATGGTGATGGGTGCGAGATCTACTGTCGTGTTCTGCCATCCCACGTGTATGCTTCGTGCAGGGCGCTCGAGGGATTTCACAACAGGTACTGCTGTCCTCGTTGTCGGTGCTGCGCGCCCAACGATCGCAAGCGACGAGCCGCCACGCACGCCTGCCCACCATCCGGCGCCGCCTCAAGCGGCAGTTGGAGCAGCGGGTGCAGCAAGCGCAGCAGGCGGAGGCCGGCAACAGCGGGGCTGCGACGACGGTTACAGCAGCCCCCCGTGGGGGGAAAAGTGGCGGTGCACGGGGGGGTGGCTCGGCTGGAGGGCCCTCTAGCGGGGGTGCGGCGCGCAAGCCCGTGAATGGCGTCGGCCCCAAAAAAACGAAGGGCACCTCGGGAAAGGCGGCCGTCAAGTCGGAAGGTGATGGCAGAATTTGCTAGTGCTTGTTTGACCTGCACTGCTGGGTCATACAAGGATGTATTTGTGCGTACAACACTTTAGTCCAATCCACTACTGTTCTATGAAGGGGGGTGATGGGGGTTTGTTTGACCATCCTTCAAGACATGGGCAGAGGGGTCAGTGAATGTTTCGAGCATAGGCGGAGGCATAGACGTGCTCGTTATTTTTTTTGATGAGCCCCCTTTGAATGCTTTTGCAGGAAATCCCCGGCGTGGCTCCCCGGGGCCACAGACCAAGGTGATCTACTCAAGGCCGGCAGCGGCAAACGTGGCCAAACCCAGGTCGCCCGGCAAACAGGCCGCAGGAAAACCCGGAGCAAAGGCTGACTCTGGAAAGACATCCAATGCCCGCACCCCAGCTGGCAACGTGAGGTGCGTATATGGGAACCGCCATGCACACACAAGTGTGTGCAACAGTATGCTTTTGTGTGTGTGTATTTTGGCTGCATAACGCTGTGTGGAAGCTACCTGGTTTGTCGCTCCACACGAAGCTTCGGGTCTTCTCAGCCACAATCATGCCCTACCTTCTCGATGCTTGCGAAACGTGGACCCCCCTAATGGAACATCTTCGCCGATTAGAAACATTTAGGCTGGTCTGCCTTCAATCCATCCTAGGTTTATCCAGGCTGGATTGTGTGAGGAGCTCACAAATCCTTGAAAGATCTAAACAAAGTCCCATTGGTGAGTTCCTCCGACAGACAAGGCTGCGTTGGCTGGGTCATGTAGCCCGCATGCCCAGCCAAGGCATGCCTAAACAGCTTTTGTTCGGTTGGATACAGGGGCTAAATGGGCGCATCACAGAGATATAGTGATCTGGTACAAAAGGATGAGGAGCTGAGTGGACTTGCTGATGACTGGTACCAGCGGTGTCAAGTTCGGCCTCTGTGGAGGAGGCTCGTGAAAGACACTACTGGGCAGTTAGAGGCAGTCACCCTGCAGCAACAACGGAGAGCAGCGGAGCGATGTGGTGCATTGGCCAGTCATCTCAGTCAGCCGACCCATGGCACCTGGGCCTATCCCGTGACCTGTTGGCGGGTGTTCGACACTTCACGTGGCCTTAACGTGCACAAGCACCGGGGTGACGTCACCACCACTTAGTGGTGAATGGCGGTTGTTGTGTTTATTTGTCGTGCATATATGTACGAGTTAGATTTGTATGCGCGTGTGGAAGCGTCGGCTATAGTAATACAGAATTGAGTGAACATGGATAAATGAACCCACTGGTGAATTATAATGATCGTCTGAAGTTCATAGGGTAGACCTCAGACATTCAAGACATACAAATATAAGTGAATGTATGGAATACACCAACTTCTGAGATTACACTGAAGACGTTTGTTCTCCCTAGTGTCACAATTCAAAGTTCGCCTTTATACATGTTTGCTTATCTTCACTTTTTACGACAGTCTGTGAGGTTAAGTGTTTTATCTTTCTGCTTATATATAAAACACTCGTATGTGTACATGTTACACTTATATGTCTGTATGTGTATGCTTTTGTTCCATCTCATTGACGTTCACGTTTTTTAAGTCATTCCATATAAACCAGTTAATGGTGTCTGACCATGGCCTATGTGTCGTGCTCACTCCAATGTACTCTCATGCACACACCAACACAAACCCACACCCACGTGCCTGCACACACAGGCAGAAGCCAAGATCAGTGTCGTTTGCGTAAGTGCGTTCAGATTGATTTGCTTGCATTTTGTGAATGACGTTCTGTTCTTGATGACAATGTTGAATTTGTTTCTTCAATCCTGCGACCACTACATTAAGAAATATAAATACATAAACAACCAAAAAAGTAATTAAGTTTTCTGGGTATTATTGTTTTCATGCTCCCAAAAGGCACGTTAAAAAAAACAAGTCAGAAATTGAGCTGAATTAATGTTGCCTCTGTTCGCAGTATTGCAAGAAATAATTGCCTTGGTAACGGATGTGTTCTGCTTTTCAGAAATACAGTGCAGAATATGGTTAGGCATTTTTTATTTTTCTGCATGCATTTTCTTTTGTTAATTCTGACGCACCACCAGTAACTGTGTGTGCCTGATGTTGCCAAGCACTTTCATTGGGCATTGCCTCGGGGGTCACTGGCTGTTTACTCATTTAATATTCAGTGGTTCACAAAAAAACAGGTCGTCACCTTTCCATCAGGTCAGCTAACTGGCTAGCTAGGCAGGTTTCTGGTAAGTTTGCTGACGAGCGGGGTGGTCGGCTAGCTGGTTTGCTGACTGGCTTGCTAGTTGGTCATTTGGCTAAATGGCCGCTTGAATTGTCTAACTGGCCTTTCATCTGCCTAGCTGATTAACTGATTGACTGACTGGCTGCCCGGTTTGGTGGCTAATAGAGTTTCTGACCCGCCCAACTTGATAACCGGCTGGCTGCCTCTGTGAATGACCAGTTGGCTCACTCGCAATTGAACTGGCAAACAGGCTGTCTTTTTAAGATGCCTGGCTGTTTAATTGCACAGTTGACTAACTGACTGGCTGGCTGTCTCATTGGTTTGCTGACAGGCTAGCTGGCTGGGATAGGGCTGATGGTTGGGGTGACGTCCTTGGCACACCCACATGTTAACTCGACCCACCAATTTTGTTGTTGTTGCTATGACATTTTTTTCTGGATCCTAGCATGGTGTCTGGTTGGGGTCTGTCTTGTATTTGATTACACTGTTTTGCTGTGATGTCACTGGTGTGGGTGTTTGTGCTATTATTTTCCTTCAATCACTTTCCTTTCGCCCTTCATCATACCTGACGAGTAGATATTCAAAAGCGCACTGATTTTTTGGGCTTTCTACTTTTATCCTAGCAATGAGCTTAGCTTATGTTTGATGTGTCAAAGTCATTGGTGGAAATGCTACATTTTAGTGATGGGGACCAATCTCTTCGCAGATCGAACCACTGTTGACTTTCCATAGACATAGTGCAGCTTTAACAGTTCCTGCTTATTTTACCCCATCTGGAGGGACAGGACTCATAACCCGTGACAAGAATTTAACTTGTGACATTTCAACTGTGAGTGACGTACTCGAGCCAGTGCGCTGAACAGCTTATACTGTGTGCATGCATTGATACTTTTGAATATGAATGTAGTATTTTGTATTTTCTACGCTTGACATATTGTGCTCATGTATATACATATAGGCTTCATTTAATTGATAGGTAAGTCGTACACACACCATACACATGGTCAACAAATTGCCTTGTCGTCCCAGCACCCCTCCCTTCACGTCAGACGACGACTCTGACATTAGCACGAGTCCGCCGGACATTCGCAAACACCACGGCCCTACCACCCGAATGCCTGAGAAGGGGCCATCCACAAATGGGCGAATCGCGCGCCAGCTGGCCGAGGAGTGGTCTGATGGCAGTGAGCTGGAGTCCATTACCATCCCTGGACAGAAAAAGCCCCAGTCCACCGCCCATCCGTCCCCACAAGGTGAGCGAGGAATGCGCCAGTCGGACTTGTGCTCTGTGTCAGCCTTAACAGGCACTTGCTTGAAGCAACTTCCCCAACGATTTATACCACTGGCACCAATTGTTATACGCTTATGGGCATAAGCATGCATGTTTTTTTTATATCCATCTGGAAATCCGATGTGAATGTATTAAAATGCGAGTCAGTGCCATGAAGTATTTGATTATGAAGTATAAATATTATGCTGTCTGTAGAGGGGTGACTATCGTTTGACAGAGAATGTATGGGGAGGGTTGTGATCAGTGCAAGTTGAAGGATTTTGTTTTTTAAACAGAAATACATACTCGAGTGCTACAGTTGTATTGCGTTTGTTGTTTGTGTCTGTTCATCTCTCTGTCTGTCTGCTTGTCATTCATTATGCATGTGTGTTCCCATCTGTAAGTTCGTCTGCTGTCTGTGTTAAACTGCACCCAAATATTGCACGGCAGATGTGGCTATCTCCTACACTAATGGACAATTAAGAACAACCCAAATTGTGATTGTGGTCACCAGTATAACACTATCAACCACTCAGTAACGCCAATGCCTGTGTTGTTCATTTGCTAGCAGCATTTCAGATATTCATTACCAGGCTATTCCTGAAGCTGTCCACTGGCTCATTCACCAACCTCAACATTAACTTTAAAGATTGCTAAGAAACTCATCATAGAAACTAAGTAGAAGCTTTATTGTATCTGTCTGTGCCCATTTGTCAGTCCATCTTGCCTTTCTGCCAGTGTGTCGCTGTCCATCCATGCACGTGTCTGCGTGTGTGTATGAATACTGTAGGAGAGAAGGTGCAGATTTTAAGCCAAAAAATCGAGCGGCAGCTCGCCAAGCCAGGAAGTAAAAAACCATCGGGCGGAGTCCACGTGATGACCTCCACACCAAGCAATAATCCCAGCAAGGTGAGGTGCTGATGTCACCACGCACAGAACCAAACAAGGGTGAAAATGCTGTGATGCAGGTGGGCAGTGATTCATATGGTGACCTCAACCAAAGCACATCAATAAAGCTTTGAGAAGAGAATGTCAGCAAAACCGATAGCTGGAGTGAATGGTGACTGTATAAGGAACCTGTTATTGAGTGGTTTCACACATATCTATACATGAAGAAACCAAAGCAATGTATAGAGAACTTTATGTCAAAATCACTGTTTCATGGCTTGTTAAAGCCATAGAATTTAATTTAAAAGAATCCAAAAGCTCTCCGATATGTTTTCGTGTTGTACCGCATATTGTTCGACACATGCTGCGAGCTTCTTAAAAAACTTAAGAGACATCGGACATCATGCCGGACAACATGTGGGACAACCAAAACGGCTCAGCCACAAACACCTACCGAGTAGTATAAGTTCTTCATAATAAAGGTTTTTGGGTTAGATCGCGTTTATTTATAAATGTGTCGTAACCCTCCACCACCCGACACGGCCAATCAGAAAAAAAAAAGTGTCACGTTGACAAAAGACAAATAATTCACTACTTCAGCCCACCGGTGTGTTGAAGAGTTAATCCACATTTACAGTTTGAGTACGACGTTTCGCTGGTAAATACATCCAGCATCATCGGGCAATTCGCCAGAATGGTAAAGCTCTCGCTTGCTCCCGGTTTTTATATAGAGCAGCAGGTTGACGTCATCACTTAATTCATATCAGGTGCAGTGATTAGAGGCGGAGGGGGGGGGTATTGTAATTATATAATCGATTAGTAATCAGTCATTGGTTATGATTAGTAATGAGTTGTAGATTAGTAATTCTTTAAATGTAATGTGTATTATTTAATAATACGCTTCCAGGCCGCACTAAGCCGGTAGCTGTCAGAGCGATTAAAGTTATTCTTGTTCCTCTCAATTTCAATGGATTCTCTAATTAGTCTTTGCCAGTAATAATTAGTTTTACACACCACTGCAACATTGTCAAAATCAATTGAGTGTCCTTGTTGACAAGCATGTTCTGCCACTGCCGACAGTTGTGTTTGAGATAATTTAATATTTCTCTGATGTTCTTTTAGTCTTACGCTGATGTTACGTCCCGTCTGCCCAATGTAGCAGCTGCCACATGAACAATTAATCCGATATACACCTTCTGTTGATAGTTTAGGTAATGCATCTTTAGTGCAAGATACTAGTTTTTTGAATTTTGTGTACTGTACCAAATCTTACTGTAATGTTTTGCTTTTGCAGATAAGTTCTATTGCAAGTGTCACACCTGGTCCCCTGTGAAAGCAATTTTCCTTCTTCTCTGCCTCGGCAGGCGAGTTCCGCCACGGGACAGAAACGCATGAACGAGGTGGAGGACGAAGACGACAACTGGGACATCTCGTCGCTGGAAGACGCCCCCGTAGGAGGACGGGCTGCGGCACGGCCGGGACCCGTGCCGGCCCCACGCAAGGGCCCATCTTCGCCGGGGCGGCCACACTCAACCGCTGTGCCCATCACCTCCACTTCCAAGGCTGGTGAGACACTCACGGGTGTGTACGTACGTATGTTGAGCATCTTTCGCACCGTACGTAACCAACAGTGCTAATCGGAGGTGCGGGGGAAGGGCAAGGGTGTGGGGCAGGGGTGGGGATTCTTTTATTTACTGAGCGCCCAATAGGACTTTCAATTATCGTTGGCAGGATGCATATTCACACGCCCATTCTGTCACTTCAGAATAATCAGAATCTTGATACTGGAGGAATCCGACGAGTTATAAAGATCTTTTTCACAGATGTCCATTAGGGGCTGGTCAGAAAGTTACAACAACAAACAATACAGGATAGGAGTGCAAAGTATAGGAAAGGTAAGCAAATCACAAACAAACTAAAACTAAACTTCTTTTTTTAACCAGGTTAAGCCCACTGAGCTATGAGCATCTTTTTCAGAAGAGACATGGCCACAAATGAGCTATCATTTGTGGCCAGGTCATTTATAGCAGCCAAATGATCGCAATTGTTTTGTGTCACAAAAGTGGTATTCGTTTTATCTGCCCCAGGCAGATGATGGATTTCAACACGCATCCTTTCGATTGCGAGTGAAGCAGTCTGCTTACAGCTATACTCGGCTTATAACAAAGCATGCATTCACCTATTCAAATGTGTTCCTACACTCACAATGCACGCATCGAATCATATGGGAGAATCGGTTATTTTCTATTCGTGTGTTGTATGTAATGGTTTATGTAACCCATCAGCCTCTAGAGGTGGTATATCCACCACACTGTTATAAAAGATACATTTTTTAAGTGACTCACAGCCCTAAATTGCGAGTATTCATGGAATCATGAAGGGAGGGGGGGGCGAGTCATGTGCTGGGCCAGTAAAGTAACAGTCGGTGCTTGCTGCTTGCTAAAGGCACTTGCCCCCTCACCCCAGTCTGTAAGATGAAATGGTGCATCCTTGTGCCGATTGTGTGCTGCAACAGGTTTGAAGGAGCAAGGGTCAGGCAGCACTCTGAAGAGCAGCCTGGTTACCGTCACAGACTGGACCAACGATGACTTCTCCGACCTGGAGTTGTCCTGAACTCCAACCCCGTGGGTCGAATGCCCTTTTTCCACTGCACAACCAAGCCATTCCAGGGCCGTGCTGAGCCAGTCCGGCGCAACTCACGAGGCACCAGGTTGCTTTTTCACGACCGAAGCGGAGCCGTGCCGCTGACGTCATATGCAATGAGTCGAGATGTCTTTTAATAATGCAGTGCCACCGTGTCTTCACAGTGAACTGACTGACATCACAAACATAATGTACATGTCCGTAGCCATGCCCCTGGTCCTGCTTGGCCCCCAGCCAGATGCGGATGTCTCGTGAGGCCAGCATGGCTTGGCACGGCACATAGCCAGTAGAAAACCAGTCGGATGTGCCAATAGAAAATGGGTAACAAAGGGGTCTAAGCATACTATGGCACGGGTGCTAGAGGAACACCACAGAAACAGCACCATAGAGGCTAAATACGCACTGCGATGAAATCTCATTGTAACGTCCCTCAGGTTAACATACTTTTTGCATGAACATATTTAGTCAAAATCCCCAGAAGATGTACGGCATAAATAACGTTACAAATATTTCCAAAGAATGTACTTCATATTTATTTGCATATCAGATTAACATTATTTGGACGTTCTGGTCGTTTTTTTTTACTTAGCACTACATGAGAATCACTTTGTGGGCCAGTCTTATCCCTGTCCTATGGATACACTCGCCCCCGCCATAAGAACGTGGATTTTCTACGACTGGCTTAGAGCTGTAACCGGGAAACGAACTCCACATAAAACGCAAATTTGAGCAAGAAATCACTATTTTTACAACGTATATCTCACCATCGTAAAAGCATGGTCATGATGCAGCCAATTAAATGTGGTAGCTTCACAGCGATTGACAATGGCAGTGCCGTGCAAGCTGGTTCAGTAAAGCCAGCACACGTTGCAGCACTCGTTACACTGTTAAAGTTATATATAGGTTTGGCATTGCCCTGTGGACCAATTTAATTTCTCAGAGCGTGTTCGTCGAGCCAAGGCGAACTAAAATTCTGATTTCTTTGGTCGGTAAGGTTGCAAACGCAACAAATTGACAGCCAGATAGACCCCTGTGCTATGGACATTGAGGTGCTCTGTTGCCTTGTCTTCTTGGTCTATTTTTGCACATTTTTTTGTCATTTCAAATTAAAGTATTTTCATTATAAAGTATAAAACGTACGTACGTCGTAATGAGATTTCACTTTACAGGGACTGTCACATTCCAAACTGAGCATTACATTTGCTCACAAATCAGTACTATAGGCACTTACAACACCTTAGAGCCTAGCCCAGCACCACAGCAGCTAACAACACAGAGGACAGGATAATGGGGCAGAGGCTATCTAACACTACAGAGGATAACAACACTATTGGGGCTAATAACACTGCAGATGCTAGCTCACTACTCCAGGAGCTAAAACAACTTCACATATAGTGTATGGTGTGATAGCAGGATGATGCAATAGCTATCTGAACACAACAGAAATTAGCACAGTCCAAAAGTATATCGTGATGTTTTGTGCGGTTAAACACAACACTACAAGGCCTAGCACTCCATTACAGTTGCTTTATTTGGGCAAACTTAAAAATCGTGGGGGCTCACGCAAATACCACACAAGGTAGAACACAACATCAGAGGCAAACTTAGCATAGGAACAAGAATGACTAATTTGGCTGAGTACTATGTAGGTTGGCACAGCACTTGAGATAGTGTGTGTGCAGATTAGCACGTACAACACTACACTACATAACTTAGGACAATCGGGAACAGGGCGTGCTGATGTGTGAAAATATTTCTCAGGAACAAATTAAGTGGTACGAATGCAATAGAATATCATCGTTGTACTGCAGTAGTACTGTGTGGTAAAGTGGTACCTTATTTCAAAGTTGTATTCAAAATGCTTTGTAAAAGGCAGTATCACATTCCCATGATTTATTCAGGTACTTCATATTGTATGTTATAAAAACACTCTCGATGCTGGGACCGGGTACGTGTGTATACACATGATAGTTTATTGTGTGTTATAAAAACACTATCGATGCTGGCACCGGGTACGTGTGTATACACATGATAGTTTATTGTGTGTTATAAAAACACTATCGATGCTGGGACCGGGTAAGTGTGTATACATATGATAGTTTATTGTATGTTATAAAAACACTATTGATGCTGGGACCGGGTACGTGTGTATACATATGATAGTTTATTGTATGTTATAAAAACACTTGATGCTGGGACCAGGTACGTGTGTATACACATGATAGTTTGTGGTGTTGTCATCTAAAACAATCTTTTTTTACATGAAAAAATACATTGCCGTGTCTTCACTTCTTTTTTAAAATTATTTTTCTGTTTGAAGTTAAATGCCTCTGGGTTCGTGATTATTCACATTTTTTTAAAGATCTTATTGGCAAGCGTGTGTTGTGTTTTGTGTGTCGGACCAGTGCAGAAAAGGTTAAGAAAGTTAATATGTAAGCCACTTTTGCCTTGGTTTTTTTTTACATCCATTTCAGTGCAAAAGAGCAGTTTTTGCACGTGAAACAGGTATTTTATTAAGACAAAACTCCAATATTACTTTTCTAAACAATTATGGGGATTTGAACCCTGTACAGAAATGTGAGATCCAAGTCCTGTCCAATCGTTATATGATATATAATGTGGGATTTAAGTTGTACAAAGACTTACGTGGATTCAAACTCATTGCAATAATTTACAATACTACTCGGATACTTTTAACTCTTTACAATAAATTTTGATTTAAAGCTTTCGTGACTGCAGGGATTCATATTATTGGTTCTTTCGGTAAAGTCACGTAGAAGGGAAACTATAAAATAATACAAATATTAAAAACATTAAAATTCTCACGACATTTCGAATGCAACAAAAGCAATAATTTAACATATGAAAGGAGATCTATTCGTAAATTAACTCGAAAGAGATTTGATTAAATACAGTCTTGTATGTAGTAAAAGGCTACCGAAATAATTTTGTAATAGGTTCTTCAAAACATGGGAGTGGTGGTGCGCTCGTCTGCATATTACTGCGCTGAATTAAATTCCCGGCTACGGCTGACATCGGCAGCAAGCAATAACGGGGTCGTGTCCGCTCCCAATCACCGCCCACACTGATCAGCGTGGTGAAGTAGGGTCGAACAACCCTCACATGGGGGAGGTCTTCATTTGGCAGTGGATTAAACGAGCTAAGTTAATAATTTAACTTTTAACCTCAAAATTTGGCAGAGAAATCCTGCTTGGTTTGGGGCTGTCTTTGTGATGCGTCTCTAACGTGAACTACTTGCAGGTGTCCAAAATCCCATACCGTACTCTGGTGGGGTTTATTTGTTCTGTAAAGCACATTTACAACATATCAACAAATTGCTTCATATATTCCTGCACATTGCAGGTCAGATCATTAAAGTTTGTTTTTTTAAAGTGTAACCGTGACATATAGGTACATTAGAATAATTTTATATTGTAAATGTTGCTTTGCCGTACAGATATAACTCACATTATCTGGATAGAAAACTGATGTTATTCTGGAACTATATTTGCTTTTGGTACATTTTGAAATGTTTACCACCTTGTCGCCAACATGAACATTTTTTTTACAGTTTTACAGTAATGTATGAGTTAATAACTGCACAATTTCTTCGCTTTGCTGGTAACAACATTTTTCGATGCGTCTCCCACCTCGTAGAATCAAATTTCAATAAAGTGGTTCAGTAATAAACGTTGTCAATCTGTGGTCATGTCATTGCTGATAACATATATAGGGAGCTCTAGGAGTATTGGTGCAACAGGACAGTATACAGCTCAATGGATCATGTCAGTGCTGCATTAAGTTAGGGAGTATACAAAATATTTTAAAATACTTTTTATTAAACACGCTTTAATTAAATGTACCGTACTAGTAATGCCAGAACTCCACGACTCCAGGAAGTGGCCCTGAAGCTTGCCACGGCGTAAGGGGACCGTGGTGATTTACAGCCAACGTCAGTTGAGCGTGGACAATTAGACCCAAGCCGAAACAACATATACAAAAGATTGTTTCAAAATCTATATTTTATTTTAATGATAGAATCTAGTATTGTCATCAGTATGACATAAGAATACCAAGTTTGCAGTCGATACCACATTGGGAGGTGGGTTAAAATTGAGTTACAAGATTTGAGGATACGACAACAAACAGTTTATCAAAAGCGTGTAAAATAATGTTTTAAAATGTTTTGATTATTTTATGATAGAATATAGTATAGTCATCAGTATGACATAAGTATACCAAGTTTGCAGTCGATAGCACATTGGGAAGTGGGTAAAAATAGAGTTACAATATTTTTTGAGGATACAACAGTGAGATAAATAAAAGCGTGTAAAAAACTTGTGGTGTCGATCTCAGCGAATGAGTTGTAATTTAACGCCCCCCTTAGGGTGCAATAGCAATGTTGAGTTATCACAAGCCAAATTAACATTCACCAAAATGTTTAGAATTATTATGATAGGCTTGTCAAAACCGTCACTTTCCTTCATTGTTCCATGATACAACAATCCACCCAGCACCTGCAAACGAGCCGTTCTCATCACTGCATTTCAGCGGTGGATGGCGTTCTGGGCACGTTCCCTTTGGCTGCCACTCAATAGTTAAAGCAATTCAACCTAAATTTCGATTTAAAGCTTTCGTGACTGCAAGGATTCATCTTCTTTGGTTCTTTCGGTAAAGTCACGTAGAATGAGAATAAAATAATAATGTAAAATAATACAATAAAATTCTCACGACGTTTCGGCCACAACACAAGTGGCCTTCACCTGAAGAAGGCCACTTCACCTGAAGGCCACTTGTGTTGTGGCCGAAACGTCGTGAGAATTTTTTTGTGTTATTTTATTATTTTATTCTCATTCTACGTGACTTTACCGAAAGAACCAAAGAAGACAATTCAACCTACTCTCTCCCACGTGTCTATATCACCAACCACTGCTCTAGGTATGCGTATACCTAGATATACTGTAGCTCTGATAATTTTGTTGCCACCTTGTACATTATTTTTTGCTTATTTATCCCGAGCCTTCTTTATTCAGTTCGTCCTAACATTTCTACAATGTGTAAACACTTAGACAGTCCTCTAACTATACCTACCCGTAAGTATACCTACCCCTGCATATAGGAATGCCAATGGTATATCTGTACACACGTACGCAGACTTATAAGAGTTTCACACGTGTGTGTGTGTATATAAAGCCATCACCTATACACGTAGCGAGAGAAAAGTCAAGTCTTCTTGCATTGAGGCCAGGAATGCTTTGTTGGCTACGAGCCTCAAGACGACTCTCACCTCGATCTGTTTTGCGAGAGAATGAATCGGTGAAGTTGAACAACAGAGCCACACGTGGTCATGTCACAGATGCTGTGTGCAGTGAATAGAAAAAAACATCCAGTTGCTGGTTTAGAGAGGCAGGCAACAGCGACCCTTATGTGGGGTTTTTTTAATCTGCCAGCCTTCTGCGGGGTTCATCAACGCACATTGCCACTGTTAACATTGCCACATCAATCTTTATTAATCGGCAAGTTGTGGATTGTTGGTTGGATTTGCGAAGATATTATTTGGGTTGACTTCGTGATATCATTTCCAGATATCACTTTCAAAAAACGATACCGAATAACCTCGAGGTGACGATTATTGCGATATGGCGACATCCATTTCAGATAACTATTGTAATTGGTAAATCACATTTTTTGAGGGGTAAGTTCGGTGATATACATCATTGTTATAACCATGGTAATACGCGAATTGACATTGAGAATACCGTCTTTTTTATCCACTGTCAAAACTTGCCGGAGACATCCTCTCGTAGCTTGGTTTGGGGCTGGCTTTGTCATGTTTCCCTAATTTGCATACAACTTAGTCCCATAGTGTAGAGGAAGGCAACCGAAGGATATCTACTTTCAACGAAGGCGCGTAACAACAGCTTGAGATGCAGTTCGTAAAGTTCTGTGTAAACCTGTTGTCCAATTTTTTGTTTTCGGGTCCTTCAACGAGGGCCCGGGGATTTTTTTTAGTGCAAAAATGAAGCTCGGATTTCGAAGACTTTTGAGATCTCGTATTTTTTTTACGCGGTTTGAGAGATTTCGACGTCACTTCCTCATATGTTGTGGGTCTTGTCGGTGTTAACATTGACCTCCCCCCCCCCACCTGACCGTCGTTTTTATGATTATGTATTTTAACCCCTCCTCGATTTAACAAAGGGGCTGTTGTATGTGTACATTTGTACACTGCAATCGCGAGCTTTTGGTTCACGTGTGACCCTCTAAAACTTGCTGTGTCTGCCATCCCCCGCCCTGTCTCTGCATCATCTCGCTGCGTAAAGAGCGCTGCAACGCACTCCTTAAGAGGGATAGCAATTGCGTGTTGAATAATATCGGCTCACTCTTACCAGCTGTTGTTAATCCCAGTAAATAAATGTAACGCACGCGTTTCATTTAATCACGACGTTAATTGCATCGTCACTCGTGTTGATTTTACGCGGCTCGCGATAACGGCGGTCCAGACTTGCAGGAACAGGAAGTGACGTCTCCGAGTCGGCACCAGCGAGCGTCAGTTCCGTGCAGCTGATTAATAAACAAAGATTATTTTTAGAACTACGCTCTTTCTTTTGGGGGTTAAAAAATATATATATTTATTCGGTAGAAAGAGTCATATCGAGGTGTATTTTAAATCCGTTTAACGATATCAGCATTGTTAATCACAAAGCGCAATATCACACCCCATAGTGTAAATGAAAAGCAAAAGTGTATTAAAATATTATGCAGTGCGCGATGTGCATCTTTCGTCATCCATGATCAACCTTTCTATTTTTGCAAGGTTCTCGGCAAGCCACGTTGTTTGTCGAAACCTGAATAAAGTTTCCAAATGCAGTTGAAGCTGTTTGCTTGCTTTAGTTGCCATATATATGCACATCATGGGGGAATGAAGACTTTTATCTTACGGTAGATTTTTGCACATCACAGGATGTCCCAGTAAACTGCACAATTTCATAAAAAAACATTTTCCCCATTTCGCCTTACAAAATTTGCCCGTGGTTCTAGTTTTGTTGATCAAATATCTGCGTGTACAGCACATATTCTTGGGTCTTTCGGTAAAGTCACGTGGATAGGTTAAAAAAAATACAAAAACTACGACCTTTCGATCGCAACACAAGCGGTCATGATCAAGCATCGCTTGATGACGGACCACCGTAGTTGTTTGTAAAAATAAATGTTGAACCTACCCACGTGACTTTACCGAAAGTCTCAAGAATATTAATGCCCGCAGTCACGAAAGCTTTAAGTCAAAATGTACAGTACAGCACATTATTTGATTAACATGGCTCAGTATTGTTTTCAGAATCTTTGTTCATCCTGGAGAAATCAGATGAGCTATGAAGCTCTTTTGCAACAGAAATCTACAAAAAACAATTGGAGCGCAAAATATAGCATAGGCTAGCAAAGCACTAAAAATAAAGTACACAAGTTAAAATTGTAATTACATCAAGTCTCGAGCTTGGCCAAGGGCAGGAAAATAACAGAAAAAGTCCCAGACCACACCAAGACGCAGTCCGTCAATAAACTTGCACATTAAAAAAATAAATGGACTATCGATTACCCGGATAATGATCAAAGTTGTTGATAATGTATCTTGAGAACTATTTTTCAACCATTACGTTTTCCTTTAGTTCATTTCCATTGAATGTTATGACTATACCATCAGTGTTTAGATATCATCTCGATTTATATTCACGTCTATCTTTCATAAAGCCTCAATGTGGTATATGCATTGTCTTTGAAACTGATTGGCCTCAGCAGAGACAGATTTCAGGGCATATATTATCAGAGCATGTATTTGTTTTCATGTTCACCACAAGTCCGTGTTGTGCTTGATGCAGCAGACATAATTCCTTGCAAAAAGGTTTCTATTTGGTGTTTGAACATCTTTACACGTTGATTTATTCTTATTTTTTGCTCATAAGTTTATACTGACAAAACAAGGTCCCATGTTAATGTTCAGATTGTTATATATTTTTTTTATATTACAGGGGTGGGATAATTTATATAATCCATGAGGCGACGGGAAAACATCCACCAGAGAGAAATATCCTTCCCCACGGCTCGATCGATAAACCTCAGCGCTGAGAAATGCGAGAGCTGAGATGACACCCGCACGATGCTTCAGGGAATAAATGGCACACACCTCCAAGAAAACACAGATCTTTTTTTTTTAAACGCGAGACCCCCACAACGCTTCTCTGTCATTAAGTACTGATTAGATCCCCACCAAACGCAACGGCTTGGTGAGAACCCGACAAAAATTTTTAATTAGTCGAGAATAACTAACGGAATGGCGAAATCGAACAGCCCGGGCTGCAATATTAATAGTAGCGGTCATTACATCTACACCGTTGGACCCACATTTTTATTTGCTTTAATTTTTATGCTACTTTTGCTAGCTAGCATTACATATCCTTTAAACAACATAGTAATATACCTTTTTAAAAAATTAAATAAATAGGTTTTAACGAGCAATAACATCGCACTTTTTTATTTCGTTTGTTCAATGAAAACGTATTCGCACGCGCGGAAGTGTTTGTGCCTTGTGAGACGTCACTTCCTGCGGGTCGGTTCCTCCCGGCACGTTGAGGAATAAATCAGCGCGTGGCTCCCGGGGCCCGCAGGGCGGGCAACGCAGAGCTGCATGGGGTCGTCAACATCACCGAGAGAGTTGTGTGGGTTGGTCGTATCGGTGAAATCACCATTCACGTTCCTTCCGTCGACATCCTCTCGCCCCCCCCCCCACCTCATTCTTTAAGCGGCGTGTCCTGCACAAATTCCCACTCGCTTCTCCTAGGTTTGAATGATGTCAATTCACCTCGCCTGTGTTGTGATCTCCAAATCCGTGGGGTTTGTTCTTTTCTACCTCTGGGTTACAATATGATGCGTGCATCTGCCCAAACATGTTGCATTTATTTATTTATTATACATTTATTGGGGCACCACGGTGGCTAGGATATGTTAACTCCCTCGCTTGGTGTACAGGAGGTCGTGGGTTTGACCCTGACACCTGCTGCTGTATATTTGGAGTTTGTGTGTCTCTCATCATCATCACGGTGGCTAGGAGATGTTAACTACCTCGCCTGGTATGGAGGTCGTGGGTTCGATCCCGACCCTGACGCCTGTTGCTGTATATTTGGAATTTGCGTGTCTCTCTCATCATCACGGTGACTAGATGTTGACTACCTCGCCTGGTATACAGGAGGTCGTGGGTTCGATCCCGACCCTGACGCCTGCTGCTGTATATTTGGAGTTTGCGTGTCTCTCTCTCCCCGTAATCGCGTAGATTTCTCTCCAGGTCCTCCGCTTTTTGCCTCCACATTTAGAATCAACATCACTCGTTTAGGGTATTTGGCTGCTATACATTTCCACATCATGATAAGCCACTTCGTTGAGCTATTATAATTATTTGTGGCCAGGTCCCTTCTGAAAAAATAGCTAATAGAGAGAGCTCAGTGGGCATTACCTGGTAAAATAAAAACAAGTTTATTGAATTGCCATGTTTTCTGCATTATATTATGGAGTTAACCACTGACTTAAAACGCTGCATATGTGTTTTTTCCTGCCTGTTATTACATTGGAATAACTTAGACAACTTTTATGAATGTACTTATTAGTATGCTAAGCCAATTACATCAGTCTTGTTGGAACCCACGTGTACGAGTTTGAACTGTACTCGCAGTGTTACTACTCGGATTGACTTCGTTTGCAGTACTCGACCGCCACCTGCAGGCCTTGGAGCTTGATGAGGAATTGCATTTTAAAACATGACCAGTTTGTAAATTAGCCTACGAATGATTACATATATGTAGCTATTGAGTAACAGACAAGCAATTTTATAGTAACAGTAAAATAGAAATGTTGCTCGCATATTTGTGCCTGTGAGCACAAGGTGCAATGGTCCATCAGAGTGCAGGGAAAACCCCAAATACCCACACCAGGGGATAATTAATCTGCTTTTGTAACTGCCCTGATTGTGTTCGGAGCCACTTCTGTAACACCCCCGGCTTGCCACTTTGATCGTCATTAATAGCTCGGAGTACACTACCGTGTTATCACACTCAATGGGCCTGACCCGATTGATTCGATAATACATTCTGTTCTCCCATCTCCTGGCCATCTCGCACCCCAAAGCCTACATCACCAGGGTTCACTTGGCTTTGAATTTGCACCATGGATCGCACAAGGAGTGACTGCAGTATTCTCATATTTAAAAACACAAGCAGAGACAGAGAGACTCATGGAGAGATCGATTCTTCTTCGGTTCCCGTCTAAGCAGCAGCTGCAAATCCAGGCGAATCTCTGCAGGCAGAGTACAGGGGGATACTGCTTGTCTGCTGTGTTGTGACGAACAAAGCTGAAGTTGATTGTAATCTGGTCTACCCTGTATCTCGAATCCACGTTTCCTCTATCTTAATGTAAAGTATGCAGCTCTCCATGCTTATTTTGTGCACTCTTCAGCTTTTGTTCCGAATAGGAGGTAGTGTGTAAATGATACGCTACTACAACTTCCATTACCATATCATTTATATTATTGGCATAACATTAAATACATCAGCTATAAACATGAATTGATTAGTTGAACTCCACCTCCTTACAGCTGTACCCCCACGTAAACCTCGTGCGATACGGCGAACATAGTTTCGGGGCCTCCGGCCCAAAGATCTGAAACACGCTACCAGCTCTGAGTCTGAGCTAGACCTGCAAGAAACTCAAAACAGTGTTTTTTTCAGAGAGCCTACTTCAATATGTGATCAATGCGCACTCGTGGTGTATTATTCTTACTGGTGATTACCCACTCGTGGCTGTGCATGGCCATTGTAGGCTCGAATGAGATATTGGGGTATATATACAATATACTGTATATATGAAATACTATTGTTATGCTCTATGCACTAGGGATTAGTTTTGGTTTTAAAAAAATTAATTCAGATTTTCAATCTTTGAATATTGTTACATTTTCTAAATTAATGTACTGCTGTATGCTAAACTAAATACCTTCGGTAGGCCACACATGAACACACTTTAGCATTGTCCAATAATGACATTTAAAATGTGCACGTCAACCAAAATACCGCATAGAACTTTGGAGTGACATGAGTGAGTTAAAAGTGTTACCAGAGTGAGAATATTCCACCCGATTAATGCAGCCAAGGTGCATGCAGCAATGGATGTCATTTGTGGATCGTTTCAAAGTTTTATGCCTCAATTTGCCGCGGGTGTATGAAGTGAAGTCACAGCCCGTATTTCGATCGTGAGCCGGAGATCCTTCCTAGTAATATTGTATCGAACATCCTCATTTGAAAAACGATTCACAATGAGGCAAAAGACAAAATAAAACAAGTAATCTGAAACCACAAAAATCACGGTGAATTAAAGTACAGTATGCTCTTAAAATGAAATGGCCAATGAATAGAACATACATAATTCTGTAAATTCATTAGAAAATATACATACAGACCCGAAACATGATTTGAGATAGGAGCAGGATCTTCCTGTCTCCTCTCTGAGGATTTGTAATACCCAGACCTGTGGTTTGAATATTCATGACCCATGTGCATTCATGACCCATGAAACTCACGAATCCTCACCTGCCATGGACACAGGACAGACCTTGTGAGCAACATAGTGGGTTTCAGGAAATTGTATTTATGAATGTAATAATCCTGTGTTATTTGTAACACTGTGACAAAATGGTGAATATGAATTCACCATTGTGTACCAATTAACACAGGATTATTGCAGGTCTATGGTGTGCGGTAAATGTTTTTCACATAGATAGCATGTAACAACTCGACACATAACACATAGATATTCACACAATCCATGGAGTGATATTTCAGTAAATGGTAATGTTTTATTTTGATACCCACGTTTGTACTGCAGAAATAATACTGTATTAATGAATTGTACATAATAAACATAAGACCACCACAATTAAGTGTGTTTTGTGGTTGCTTTATGTTTAGTTTGTTGTCCCTCCTCCACGTCTCCAATGAACACGGATGGCTATGAATGGTACGAAAGAAGTCCAACATATGTACAAAGACAAAAAATATACCAGCATTGGGTTTCCTTTTGCTAAGCGCTGTCAATTTCTAGTGTATTAAGTGTTGCCATTTAGAGACATCTCACCACTTGCAACAGTAAATAAAAATTGGTTAAAAGGTATGAATACCATTTTTGTTTACTATGTTTCATCCCTTGTAACCTTAGAAAAAGCCCACAACTGGTAAAAACTAATGCGAGCATAACTGATAAAAACGTAAGATAAATGTTGGTGAAGGAATCCTGACACACCATTGTAATGTTCAGCTGGAAATGCCCACGCTGGATGTAAAGGCTCTTTAGTGCTCTCAATCTATCATTCCTCCAGAGACGAGTACCACTTTGTTGATAATCACCTGGATTCCCTATTGCAGGGGTGGGCAAACCATTCCTTACCGAGAGCTGAATAGAACTTTGACATGTAACTTTTTTGCATCACATTAACACTTCAGTCACTGCAAGATGCCATCGGGAATGTGGAATTACATGGGTTTCAAGGAGATCGTCACATATTCACCCCCATTGCTTGCTTGAGCAAGGAGACACTTTGTACGAGATTTACATCTTGGGTGTCAGTTTCTCAAATTTCTAGCAGTGGAGACATCAGAATGTTTTCACAAAAAATTGCACAAAAAGGGATGTTGACCAACACAAGAATTGAGCCCTTTAACCTCCAAGTGCTCTTAATGGCAAGAATTCCCACGAATAAATGAAGAAATCAGCTGCTTATTTGACTATCCTATAAAAAAGTCAATGCAACGGCACCACCCATTATACCACTACTTCGATAAGTAAAATGTGCAATATGATGTGAGTAATATTATTGTTCTTAGTAAGAATTTGAGCTCCATTATTTCAATGAAAAATATTGATTAAACTGTAAATCTCACAGGAGTTTGTTCAAAAGTACATACACCTTAAAAAAGCCCATGATATAGGAATTGTCTTCTATTCCAAGTGTTAATAGAGCAAATTTGACTTGCTGCAAAATCAGAATTGTTAAACATGGGGTATCTGGATTTGATGCGGCCCCAGCCACCACCATCCTTCAGCCGCCCTCTTCTCCTCCTACAGCTTGCGGAGGTCATCCTCCACCTTGGTGAAGAGGCCACGCATCTGCACAGGAGACACGAGACACAGGGCGCACACGCTCACTCACAGCGACACTCGGCACAGCCGTGCAAGGTGGACACCATCACGGGGTGGATGCCACAATGACGTGGACTGTCACGAAGTGGATGTCATCACGAGGTAGAGCGTGTGCTGTGCACCAGGGCTGTGCGCAGAGGGCTTGCAGACTTCAAGGTTCGTTCTATCATCCGTCAGCTCATGTCAATGTAGATCTCATTCCAGGCTCAGATGATTAATTCCATGGCATAGCTTTTAGGCTGCCCTTTTGGTGAACCCAGCGCTGGACTGAGACCCAAATCAACCCAGTTGGCAAGAGCAGCCCATAAGCAGTGTTGGAAAGTTTATTTTGGCAATGATTTTTAAACTTTGAATACCTTGAAATGTATGTGCATTATGTACACAATAGCAATATGACAATGTTATATTCAATGGCTGCCGTTTTAAATTAAATTACTAATTTCTGATTAGTTTTGTTTAAGTGAAAGTAATCAGCTCATATAAGCAAAATAGCTCTAATCTAATTACACTCTGAAAACAGAGTAACAAAAGATTCATAAACCAGCCTGGGGTAGCCAGATCACATGACTGCCTGTGGCCCAGTGCAGGCTGGAGAAGAGTGTGGATTAGTCCCACAGGGGTGCGTGGGTCATCTCTACGACACACAGCCGCATGGCGGACGCCCTCGCGCGGGCACGGGGACGGCGCTAACGAGAGACGCCCCGAGCCGGGAGTCGCACCTCCTGGTCGACGTTCAGCAGCTGCAGCAGCCGCTTCCCGTCGAACTTGGCGAACTTCTCGCCAAACTCCTCCAGGCCGTTCACCTTCAGCCAGAGCTGCACGTCGGCCCTGCTCCAGCCTAGGGGATGGGGGCAACCATAGAAAGATTATCCCAACCATTGAACAAAGACGGTCACTGCATCGCGAGCTTTCAAATGCGCTTCTGTGGCCGTCCGGAACGCTCTTCCTATTTTATTTCTGGGACACTTTTTTTCCAGGGGTGTACTTAACCTCGCGACTGGGGTACCAATCAATCTGAAATCAGTGCTACTCCGTGATGTTGCAATGCCAAACAGCATGAAAAAAATTCTGTTATCGAAAAATTCAACTTTGAATCGTGCATCGTGTACAGTTCATGGAGATGAGTCGATTGCCGCATTGCCGACCATCAACGGACTAAAAATTACTGCATCACGGACATTATCCTATGGTACCACGGGGTACTGCCATAAGGTTCATATTCTCTAAGAAGATTGCATTTTAGACTTGGAAAGTTTAAGGTAAAAACAAATTAAAGTTATAATCACGAGGCTCCAGTAAAATCGATGGATAATTCACAATGCACAGAGGCAGTAATTGCATAATATATTTTATGTAAAAAACTAAGTTACTCAACATGTACGTACAAATTACGATGCCAATACTTGAGTTATCGTCCAACTGGAAGTTACTTTGATCTTAAGATATGTATTGCAACCCAAAGACGCCTTGTAGAGAGGTACTTAGGCTGCATGCTCTGGGCATGTTCCCAAATTTGGCTTTCACCCTTTAGTCAATCTCGACCACCAGCCGTCATCCCTTACAATAAATAATGGCATGCCCTGCCCTAGACCACTTCATTTTGAAACTTGTGTATGCTCTCTAATCCATGTGTTCCTCTTTTTGTTTCAGTGTTATCAGTATATCCTTAGTTCTTTCGATAAAAGTCACGTTGAAGGGAAACAACAAAATAATAATATATATATAAAACAATAAAAAATTCTCACGACGCTTCGACCATAACACAAACCTGAAGACGACCGTTTGTGTTATGGTCGAAACGTCGTGAGAATTTTTTTATTGTTTTATATATATTTTATTATTTTGTTGTTTTCCCTTCAACGTGACTTTACCAAAAGAACTAAGAATATGAATTACTGCAGTCACGAAAGCTTTAAATCAGTGTTATCAGTGTCATTCTTCGCACGTAATTTAGCTGTTCCATTTTTTTATCAATGTCCACATTTTACAAGATGTACCCCAAAATCTATATGAGACAGAGAGTCAGACAAGGAGACACGCTTTTGGAAAAGCTGATACGCGTACTTCATGGAGAATAATCCCTTTTAAGTGTCGTTCTGGCACACTACAGTAACGTGTTAAAATGTAAGATCGAGATTGAGCAGTGACATCACTACAGCACATCTAACTGTAACTTAAAATTATGTTTTACTCACTCATGAAATGTATAACCTCTGCGTAGACAGACTGGGACACACAGCATAGGTACATATCTATCAAGTGAAAAGTCCGTTTGTGTTTTGACTTGTGTCTTTTAACAGGGCTATTAACTAACAACGCTGTGTAATTCACACTATTACCAAGCTAAGCTTTGCTCAATATTTGGCATGAAGGGAATTATTACCATTTCCAAGCTTGAGGAGTTGTCTCTTCCCATCTGTTATTTAAAGAAAGTAAACACGTATGAAAGGGCAATTAAAAAACATACAAATCAAACAACACTCAACGATTAACCCAGCTCAATACTGTGATTACCATAACATCGCTTTGAAGTATATTACCAAAGCAGAATAACTCGGGAAACTTAAAAAAAAACATGTGAATATATTTTTCTGATTATTTTTTACCTGGAGACAACTTTAGATTCTTGTTGGCAAGATGCTTGAGTTCATTTTTCTCAGCGTCTCCTTTGAGGCACTACAGTGAAACATCAATCAGCTCATTTAGACTTCATCGCTGGCAACAAAGTTGTCTGCATAAGCGACTGTGATCTGGCGCCTACTCAATGTGGTTCTTAGCCTTGTGGTGTGTACCTGGGCTCGTCTGTTTTGGAAAGTAATGGTCACACCTCAGGATTGGACTCCGTTTCTCTTACTCGGCAACAGTGCTCAGCTACTGCACTGTCCGAGGTGTTGCTTTAACTGCCCTCACCTGGCCCATGATGTCCTGAGAATTGAGACCTCTACTTTAACTCCCCATACCTATTCTTGGTTCTTTCGGTAAAGTCACGTAGAAGGGAAATAATGAAAATAAACACTAAAATTCTCACGACGTTTCGATTGCAACACAAGCAATCATCATCAGGTGTGAAAACCACAGCAAGCACTCCTGATGATGATTGCTTGTGTTGCAATCGAAACGTCGCGATAATTTAATTGGTTTATTTTTATTATTTTATTATTTCCCTTCTACGTGACTTTACCGAAAGAACCAAGAATATGAATCCCTGCAGTCACGAAAGCTTTAAATCCCCATACCTAGCTCATGATGTCCTGAGAATCCACAGTGCTGTTTTACGCTCCCTCACCTGGCCTGCACTTTGCACCATCGACACGGCCGCTCTCTTGAGCCTCGCGAGCGGCCTGGGCTTCGGGTCATCCTCTCCTGAGGGACATCACACGCACGGACAAGGAGACACCACACGGACGCCATAACAAACATCAATGAGGGGAGGGAAAGACGGCAAGTGACGTGTACTCATTGTAAAACCAAATGTAAATTGCCATACAACTCATGGCTCGCTCTCATTACGTACAAATGGGCTGAGTTAGCACGCGGCATTAGGAAATCTCACCACCCGCACCACCTCACACCTTACTGATGGAGCCAGAGTGAGAATGCAAACAGGCGTATCCGGGTTTTGACAGCTTATAAATATAACACGGGATTGTGACCAAGAGTGGCGATGCTGGTCTCAGTCGCTGGGGTTAACAGGGGCTGAATCACACAGCATGATGATGGTTGTGGCAAATAGAGAAAGATACGAAGGCAACTCAAGATGCAGATGACAAGCACAAGAGAAGATGCAAGCAGTGACTCGGAGAAAACTGTGGAGCTGACGATAACGAAGGAGCTGGACACGATGATTTTTAACCCGGCCCGACGTGAACGCTGCTCGCGAAGGATGTGCGCAAGTGCGGGGCCACGTCTACCAACCTCCACGGATGATCTTGAGGATCTCGCCGTCCTGGGCCATGTTCTGCAGGATCCGTGTCGCGTGGCTCTCGGCCGCCGCGTCCTCGCATTTCCGAGCGACGCGGCTCACAACGGGGACGGCGCCCGCCTCGTAGGTCTACATGGGGAGAGTCGCGACAGTCTTCTCTTCTCTGCACTCGACACACGGCCCTACGCTGCGTCCTCAAAATACTGGGCTAACTCTCAGGGATTGGGTGCCCTGTGCTGTTTTATTACCATAACCCCGTTACATCCATTTAAAGCTTGTGATTATCTTTCAGCTCATCAATGTATATTCATAATACGCTTGTGTTTCTGTCCGTAACGCACCGGACGACATCACGCGAGATTGAGGTGAGGTGGAGGAGAGGGGTTCATGATGTCAGATACACTGGGGTGTTCAGAAGAGGAGATGGATGAGATTGGGGTGATCTGAGGAGAAGAGCTTGATGATGTCATGACACGTAGGTGGTGAGAAGGAAGGCGTGATAACGTGACACGACACTGGTGAGCTGCAGTGGGGTGATGACATCACGCGAGATTTGGGTGAGTTGGTGCGAAGGGGTGACGTCACGAGACACCAGAGTGGTGAGAGGGGGCGGGTTATGACGTCACGCGAGTGAGGTGTTTCATAACGTGTAGTGAGGACAATATGTTGATGACGTCAAATGCAATATGGGGGAGAGATTAATGACGTCACACGGCATTTGTGAATTCGAGAAGGGTGATGACGCCATGCCTAATTGGGATAAGGTGAGGGAGAGGAGTGATTACAAAACGCAGGATTGGGGTGATGTGGAGAAGAGGGGTTGATGACTTTAAGAGACGCTGCGGAGGTGACGGGAAGTAATGACGTCACGTGAGATTGGGGGGTAACGTCACGAGACACGGAAGGAGCAAATGGGGGTGATGATGTCACAAGACCTAGGGTGGTGAGATAGAGAGGGGTGATGGCATCACGCAGCACTGAGAAGGTGGGGGAGAGGTGTGATGACGTCAAGAGACGCTGGGAAGGTGAGGACAGGGGTGATGACGTCCTGTTCTTTCTGAGATAATAACGTGTGTTGGCCGTGGGACCACTGCGTAAAACAAAAAATAAACAAGTTTTAACACGTTTGGTCCTGTTCCTTCTGACAAACAGAAAGGCTGTGTGTCCATTCAGTTCAATTGCAGTGTCAGTGGGAAGAGAGTACAGCTTCAGTGTTTCCTTACGTTGTGTTGCATCCTACTCGAAGATTCTTGTTCGTGTCTGTTTCTCTAGTGCTCTTTTTCAATGTTTACTGAAAACAATTGGATGTTTTGTTTTGTTCTTGTTTACATTTTTATAAATACAAGCATCCTCTATTGGAGTCCAAATCTTGTACGTGGGTTTATTCACTGCGTCAATCAACCCACTCACTGCATCTGTGATGGTACACGTGTAATATTACATTATACATGCACACGTTTACATTATCTGTATTGCTTATATAATCGTGCGAGTGAATTTAGTTCAAAAGTCGTGAACTGTAAAATCACTCAGCAGCTAAAAGGTTTCTAAGATATGAACACAATAAGATATTAGATACTAGAGTAAAACACTCAGGAAAAGGAAGAAATACACATGATAGTGTCATATTTCATTATATTAGAAATGCACTAATTCACTTTATTTTCATTTAGTGATATATGGAAAGAAATATTTTAAAGTTCGTTACTGAAAAAAAAACACTAGAGGCATCAACAAAGTTCAACAAGATTGTTTTAATTTGAAAGTGAACTGTGAGGTAAACACATCCACCTCCACTTACAGCAAACATCTCAGTTTAGCTTCCCCTGTTGAGGAATCCTCTTGGCCTGCAGAGCAGTGCCACTGAAGAGCCAGCGGAGACAAAGCGTGCCTCCTCATCCACATGGGTACCTGCGTTGCTGTTCAGCAGGTCCGTGTCCTCCTCGCTGACGATGCGAGCGAGCGTCTCGATACAGGAGATTCTGCTTGTCTTGATGGGGGCTTTAGCCACAGACACCAGCATCGCCGTGGCCTGCTCCTGTCTGAAGCACGACTTGAGGTCTTGATATCCACTTACGTTGCCCAGAACACCGACTGCCCGTGGGACAATGCTCCGTCTTTCCTAAAACAATTACATGCAGAATTATTATTTTGTATAGCTTCAAAAAGTGTCTACAGCAGTAAATATTTACATGTAGATATTTTATAGCCTGGCTAAGAGAACGTTTGCTTGTCTGTGATGGGGGTCCCGCCACTTCATAGAGGAAACGAGGAGTGTTGCTGGATCAATAAGTCACTTCATCTGGAAGTGGAACGCGTGTGTAGTCTATTTCCTAATTCTGCACCTGGCTAACTTGTGTAGTCAAAGATGATCGTACTCAGGATGTTATTTTAACAATAAAGCTCTTTAATAGTAATTTTTTAAAAGGGAACAGCTACAAAGCACGGCTCACTCCGCCTCACTGCCCAACAACGGCGGCAAGAAAACGGCTCCGCCGCTTTTAACATGACGACAAATGTAAGTTGTCTACACATGTTACATGGGCAAAGGGGCTCACATATGTGTATTACACGAGTGTGAGCATGTGATTGTTCAATTAACATTTTTTGGCGCGAGTTTTGTTTTTGCGTGTGAGCCAACACGTGCGTCTGTTTGTTTCTGTGGATTGTGTCTGTGTGTGCGTGTGTATGAGGCCTGGCACAAGCGTCAGCGTGACTTCACTGCTACTTAGTGGCGAATGGCGGTTGTTGTGTGTATGTGTGCATTGTTATGTTTTAATGTATTATGTGAACAGTAGTGTGCGGTAGAGCCTGGTGTGGCTGACTGTATAGTGTTCGGTAGCGTGGCGTACTGTAGCGTGTGGTGTACTGTGACTTGTATAACTTTAGTGTGCGGTGCACTGCAGTATGACCAGTACGGCGCAGGCGGTGTGCGTGTGGGGCAGGCGGTGTGCGTGTGCTACAAGCTGTGTGTGTGTGTATGGTACAGGTCGTGCTGGAGGCCTCATCCAACGGGCGTTTTAGAATCAGGATATTTATACTGGAGGAATCCGATGAGCTATAAAGCTCTTTTGACAGATGACCAGTTAAGGCGGGTAAGAACGTTACAACAGTACAAAAACACGATAGGAGTGAAAAGTACAAGCGAGGTAAACAAATCACCCAAACACAAACAAATACAACACTAAACCATCCCCATCCTACCAGACAAAGCCCACTGAGGTATTAACTTATTTTTCAAAAGCGACCTGGCCACAAATGATAGCTCAACAATGGCTTATCATTTGTACATTTATAGCAGCAAAATCATCTAAATAGTCTAAACACACGTTTCTAAATATGAAGGGAAAACCGGAGTACCCAGAGAAAAAAAATCCATGCGACCATGGGGAGAACATGCAAACTCCAAATATACAGCAGCAGGCGTCAGGGTCAGGATCTAAATACCGACCGCCTGCATACCAGGCGAGGTAGTTAACATCTCACCACTGTGGTACCCCTTAAACAAATAAAGTATATAAAAGTTCAAACTGCATCAATTCCACAGCTCTGGAAAGGCAGTAAAACCATAGCAAATACAGTCCCAGACCACAAGACAACACACAGTCACTTAATAAAAATTGTACATTAAAAGTGAACTCTCAATACAATACATTGCTAAGGATTACATTTAGAAATCATATTTGCAAATGTGGATGTATCCAACACTAATCTTCTATTTCAGATTGTGTCGGAGCAAACAACTGAAACACTCAGCGACAGTGGAATGCAATTGAGTACAATGGGGCTGCAGGTTGGGAAAACGAGATGCATATACACGTATATGCAAATATGTGCACACAAAGACAAAGATCCCCCATATAGCCTCTGACAAACTGTGGTTCGAAAGTGCTGTTAGCAGGCACCTATGAAGGCCAGCACAGCACATGATTAGCATGGTTGGCTACGTATGGTGCAAAAGAAGTTCAACAACATACATACACACATACATGAGGATGGGGTGGCCTGTAACAAGGATGGCAACCTTTGTTTCCCTAATGCTGATGCCTACACCTTGCACCAGGTACTCATTTAAATCTGAGTCAAGCTAGGGGAGGCCCAAGACTAGTTCAGATTTAACTTGCCACTGATGTTAGCCGTGGCCATGCTCACTGTCCAGTGCGCTTACCACTACGCCACTGTGTGTTACTCTGAAACACAAACACACATCTATACACACATCGACCGGGTAACAAAATACAACGTGCACATGCATTGACACACGTACTCTGTTACACATGTGTAATAAGAGCGCCATCTCCTGTATTATTGTGGGGCGTACATTGTTTATACAGTTACGGTTTATCTATAGTAGGCATTATATATGGGGTAAAGGTGATGGGGTGGATCCACAGGGAAGCCTCCGAAACGTTCCCAAAGGTTCCAGGAGGGGCGTGACCAGAGGTGGGGCTTAGTCGCCAGGGAGCGAATATAAGCCGGGGGTGCAGCAACATGCGGGGTCGGTGTGTGAAGATCAAGAGGAGCTCCCCGTCGCTGCTGCCGCACCATCTCCACCTGCCACGTGGCGGCTCGACCTCCAGCCGCTCAGCCGCTCCCTAGTGCGCCATCAGCCAGCGGCGTGTTAGTGAGCGGGTGAGCGCCACGTGGCGCGGGGCTGCGCAGCCACCCGAGCGGTTCAACATCCGCAGAGAGAGAACCGAAGCTGTACCGAAGATGTATTAATAAATACATTGAAGTTCTTACCGTGTCGGAGCCACTCATTACACATGGACACACACCTGGCATACACACAAACATGCACACATATGTTTGCAAAAACAAAGATCCCCCATATAGCTTTAACAGATTTGGAGCAAGTGCTGTAAGCGAGCAGCTATGAAGGCCGGCGTGGCACACGAGGGGGTGGGTGGCCAGCACCACGCGCAGTCGCCTTTGTTTCCCTCGTGGCAATGTTTACACACCAGACCAGGTACTCATTTGAGGTTGAGTTGACCTAGGGAAGACCCAGGAACGGTTCAGATAATGGTCACTAGTGTTGGCCATGAGTGGGATACAAACCCAGGTCGCTAGTTTCGTAGTGCAGCATGCTAACCACTACACTACTCCCCATGTATGCACACATACACACCCAAACACTCAATAATACAAATACATGAACAGTTTGTAGTCACTAACTCACTCAATCATTGAATGACCCTTGGATTGCAATCATGCCAAATGGAAAACTTAAGAGCCCAGGTAATGTGTGAAACCACAGCATGATCGATGGCATTGTAATGCAATCAATTGCCCGTGATAGAATTGCACCTACCGAATTCACTAGAGTGCCTTAGATCAGTGATAAGGGAACCGACAGTCCATAGGTCAGATACGGTCGCTGACTTTGTATCATAGTGCCCACGGCTATATTAAGGCCAGTCACTTGAAATGGCCTGGAAATAATATTTTTCCATCACTGAAAGCATCTTATTGGGTGCCAGAGAGGAATATTTCCATCCTGGAAACTGTTTATAATTTTAGTGTGCTCAGTCACTCCTGTCATTGCCAGGGCCCCTTGCAATAACAGAAGTGTTAATGTGTGGTGTGTAAAAGGTATTTACAGTTATATTCCTCCGAGGAAGGAAAAGTTCTCCACCCATGGCTTAAACCTTAAAAACTAACAAATTTAAAATGACATAATTTAAAGCAAGTAACGGTCAAAAATATAACATTAGCTATAGTAACAGCTATACGTGAAAAGTAACATTACCATTCTATGGAAGAAAGTTCAGGAGCTAAATACCAATGTCGAGGTCTGCTGGCCACAATTGGGCTTCACATTAATGTTAACTCGACGCATTCCTGCATTCAGTATTTGAATTCAAATGTTCAAAGTTCTCTCAGCATTACTAACAAGTTGATCTGGTGATGTGGTTAAGCCAGCTTCTCTGTGGCCGTGTGGTGTGACCCCTCCTCATGCAGGAAGCGTCCGTCTCACCATCAGCTGATTCTTCTCCACAAGGGATCTCAGCAGATTCACCATTAACTTAATGGCTCCGAGTTCCGACAGCTTGTGATCTGAGAGGGAGTATGAGTTAGAGAATCTCTACTCCATCCAACTCAGCATTTAGTAACTGACAGACAAACGAATGTGATTTATAACCCAAACCAGTCGGAAGGAATTACTACCAACATTTTTTGTTAAAGGTTATTTCAATTGGTTGCATTTGTGGTTTATACATCGCTATTTTATATTGCAGAGTTATGCATGAAATGAATGAGCAAAGTGCATCTTAGTTACAACAGTTCAGAGCTCACGCAATTATAATGTTCACAGAGAACATTATTTCGTGATACAATTCCGTCTGTCTTGGCAATTTCACCAAGTTTTCAAAATCTGTGTTAGCTCAGCACCTAGATTATTAAAATGCAGTTGAAAAATATATCTCATAATTGTTCGATGATCGACAAGTTTTTCTCTTGATAGGCCTCACGTGAGTGGCTTACCTAGATCAGGGACTAATCCTGTGTAATTTGACAGAACTCTCGCGCTGAACTCCACCACGCGGGCGTTGTCGTCTCGGATATCAGATCCGCCCGGGCACACGGACTCCAAGATCTTCATGAGCAGCTCTGGGGAAAACGACACAGCGGTGCCTCCTTGTTGCAAACACACTCACTGCCTTGTCTCAGACTAAACACCTTACACATCATAAATCAAATGTCAGATGTACAGACAATATAAAATTCTAAAAACAGTCTGTTAGCCTTACTGAACTTCACAATGCGGCCTTCTGCACCAATGTTTTACAGCAGCATTTGTTTAAAAAGTGGCAGCTCTCATTGTTTTGTACATACAACTCATCACGCAATCCCTCCATGATTTGTGTTTCTTCGTGCACTTGTCAGCTTTATTTCCAATCTATTTATTATTACATTTTATTGTTCAATGTTATACTCATAATCCATGTCATAGCATGTAATATGCATTGACTAAAAACTTTATTTATATACACTGCTACGTCGCTTTTCATTATGAAGTGCAGCTTCCAAAATCAACCCAACCCACAGCTGTGTCCTTCCAACAGCTATCTTCAGTTGTATAGCAAACTTATTGTACGTGACTCTAGTTTGGCTCGTATCTTGAGCCCAACGCTGCAGCCTTCTTTATTAGTTTCTTCTAACACGTCCTGTAGGTCATTCCGATTGGATGATACAATGCATGTCAACAGAAAATCTGATATTATTGTTGTTTCCATTTATATTTACCCCTTTGTTGCTCAAATACAATTTCCAGAATACATCACCCAATCATCATCATCATTAGATCTCCTTTGCCAGTACCAAAATGTAATAATAGGGTTTTCCCCCTATTATTACATCACCCAATGTCGCAGTAAATAATGTTGGGTTAAGCGTGTCCTCTTGCCTCTCATGAGTGGTAATGTGGGGGACCAATATCGCAGATCCTCTTATCCGCAGGGTTATCTGTGATTGTACTCTTATTATCCACAGTTAAAAGAGGATATATTTTCCAGGCGACTCCTAGTATCCACAAAATCACGGATAATATGAGTAACAATGCGCAGTGCATGACGGGAAAGGGGCCAGCCAATATTCACGGATATTACTCATTTAGCTTGTGACTCCGCTTTTCTACAAATACTACCCCCTCCCTACTTATTCACAGGAATTTGTGGATAACTGGGGCAGGGGTAGTCTTTGAAGTGCAGTGGGTATTCGCGAAACCAGTTTCGCTTCAAACACGTGATTTGTGGGGAGCGGTGGAGCAGTAGTTAGAGCACTATGCTACGATTATCCGGGTAACCTTAATTAGATTTTTGTTTACAGCAAACATCAGTGACGAATATCTGAAACCAGCCCTCGGCTTCCCTCATGTCAATTCTGCATTAAACGAGTATCTGGTGTGGTGTGTACACATCGGGGAGACAAAGGCGGCTGGGCGTGGTGCTGTCCAACCACCTCGTCGTTTGCCGTGCCGACCTTCGTACGTGTTCGCTCACAGCACTTGCCACTTCAGTCTGTGAAAGGCTATCTGGGGGATCGTTGCCTTTGTATCTGTGTGCACATCTCAGTAACTTGCCACAGCGTGCTGTGAGCAGCTGGGTAAATGTTACGTTGGGAAAACAGGGCGAATGATCAGCACGAGACTAAAAGAACATCAGAGAAATATTAAATTATCCCAAATGCAACTGTCAGCAGTAGCAGAACACGCGTGCCAACAAGGACACTCAATAGATTTTTATAATGTTGAAGTTTTGTGCAAAACTAGCTACTACTGGCCAAGATTAATTGGAGAATCTATCGAAATTGAAAGAAATCAAAATAATTATTCTTTGTCTTTTTTTCGGTAAAGTCACGTAGAAATAATAAAATAACATAATAGTGTACGACGTTTCGATTGCAACACAAGCAATCATCATCAGGTACAGATACAACAGGATCTGTGTCTGTATATATATCTGCGGTTATGTGTCTCCTCTCTCTCTCGTAAATTTAGCTCTTCTGTACCTGATGATGATTGCTTGTGTTGCAATCGAAACGTCGTACACTATTATGTTATTTTATTATTTCTACGTGACTTTACCTAAAAAAAGACAAAGAATAATTCCTGCAGTCACGAAAGCTCCAAATTCAAATCAAAATAACTTTTACCGTTCGGATAGGTACTGTCTTAGTGCTGTATGGAAGCGAATCATCAAATAATACATTATTTAAATGCATGCCTACAAAGGGCAGCGTACTTCAATAGGGATTACCGTTGGTACGGCTATTTTAATACACACAATAGACAGGAGGAACAAGTTCAAAGGGCTCACATAATGCATACGCATAATGCACATGCATAATGTACGTTGACTCAGTAATCCCACTCCGCCCCCAACATTGTGCCAAGAACACAGAAGGGTTGTCAACACATCTGCACCTCTATATAATGAACGAAACAGTTAAGACTTCTCCACAAATCTGGTTGTCGCCTGATGAAGCTCGTTGTAATTACTGGCGAAACGTCGTACTCAGTTTGTAAATGTTGTGGCTTGGCTCTCCAACACACCGGTGTGCTGTACTAGTGACGAATTGGCATGTTCTGTTTACGTGACAACCCTTACTAGTTGGCTGTGTCGGGTGGTGGCAGGTTTTGACGACTCATATTTATATTGGACAGACGGGACGTAACATCAGCATAAGACTAAAAGAACACCAAAGAAATATTAAATTATCTCAAACACAACTGTCGGCAGTGGCAGAACATGCTTGTCATCAAGGACACTCAATTGATTTTGATAACGTTGAAACAGAAATAACTTTAATCGTTCTGATAGCTATAGGCTTAGTGCGGCTTGGAAGTGTATTATTAAATAATACATATTACAATTCCTTATAGGGGAAACACATACTAATTAACGGATTACTAATGTAGCATATAATCACAACACACATTACAACTAATTACTATTATATTCTTAGCTCTTTCGGTAAAGTCACGTTGAAGGGAAACAATAAAATAATAAAATATATAATAATAATTTTTTTTTGTTATTGTTTCCCTTCAACGTGACTTTACCGAAAGAGTTAAGAATATGAATTACTGCAGTCACGAAAGCTTTAAATCAAAACTAATTACTAATCTACAACTCATTACTAATCATAACCATTGACTGATTACCAATCGATTATATAATTACTGCACCTGAAATGAGTTAAATGATGACGTCACCCTGCTGCTCTATTTAAGACCGGGAGCAAGTGAGGGCTTTACCATTCTGGCGAATTGCCCGATGATGCTGGATGTAATTACTAGCGAAACGTCGTATTCAAACTGTAAATGTTGTGGATTCACTCTTCAACACACCGGTGGGCTAAAGTAGTGAACTAATTGTCTTTTGTCAACGTGACACTTTTTTTGCTGATTGGCCGTGTCGGGTGGTAGAGGCTAACGACACATTTATAAATAACGCGATCTAACCCACAAACCTTTATTATGAACATATATTTAAGCGATCTAACTCAAAAACCTCTATTATAGATAATGGTCGCGAAAGCCTACCACGTGTTAAGCTGGGTTCCTGTGAACCCTGGCGCCCCCTGTGGCGATGGTTACATCTGCAGCAGCCGAGCTGCGCGATTAACACGCAAAGATAAGCTTCGAGAACGCACAGATACATAGATCCCTCGTATTGGCTTTAATGTACTGTTTAAATAAGTGCTGTTAACGAGCACCGATTAAGGTTGGCACGGCCCACGAGGGGGTGGGTGGCCAGTACTACGTCCGACCGGCTTCCTCTCCCCAGTGCTGATGTTAACAGGTACTCATTTGAGGCCGAGTAGACCCAGGGGAGGTCCTGAACCCGTTAAGATATTCGTCATCAATTTTGGCTGTGAGCGAGAAATAAACTCGGGTGACCAGGTTTGCGTATATTTGTAATGCAACTATACTCCGTGAAAATATCGCGACTAGAATGCTGCTTCACAAAGATTGAAGGGAAAGTTTGCAGTTAAAAGGAAGGATTGGATTGCAGATAACAGGCGTTTTCATGGATCCTGTAGCTGCCACAGATAAGCACCACTTATCGGAGGAGTTGTCTTGCATTAACAGTATTTTGATACTGTCATCTCAGAGTTGCCGTCCCATTCTTGTAAATAGTATTATGACTGTATTTCTATATATATATTAGGCTCTGGTCTGCGAGCGCTTGGATAATGCATACATTTCCACCGAATAGAATAATCTCGTGTGTAGGGCCCGGTAGATTGTTACATCATAGGCACTTGAGGGTGACGACTTGGCAAGGCCTTCATCCAGCAGTGAATTGACCATGGCTAGATTATGAATGTTCATTTCACTATAAGTTTACATACACTGTACTTAAATATCAGGCATGTATCATACGTTATCTCTCGATGAGAGCAAGTAGTGTGTTACAAATTGTAATTCTATGTTATTGTTTAAACATTAGTGAATATAGTTGTCGCGTAATATGATTTTTATTTTAATTACATAATATATTAACACTCATTGCATGATTCAAGCCCATATTATTTTTTTGGGTAAAAATAAGGTAAATTCCAAGCTGATGGTACAACCCTATTAATTTCTGCAATATATAATCATGCATGAATGTTGTGCTGAATTGTATTGATTACCTGAAGGTAAAACCTCTCCAAGCACAGCGGGAAGGCTATTGGAAAATAAATAAGTAAATGTGAATACTGTACAGTGCTCACACCAGAACTCTGTTCCCACGTGAATTAAACTGCGTGTGGAAGGAGACGGGATGCTTTTGTGCACTAGCAATTCAGAATGTATTGAACGGTACTAATCTGTTGTATGGAATCAGAAAATGCTTTAGCTTGAATGACACGCTCTTTTAGTGATCTGACTCTCCCTCATTTGTTCCTCATTGTTTTTTCATTTATTTAACAAATACACAGAATTCATGCTTCCAGCCCATCAGACAACTCTTCATCCTTTAAACACAAGGGAAGCACAGCCTCCCACCTCTGTTTCATGGAGATCGTAAACTGTTCTTAAGTGTAAAATGAGATATTTTAAGTGGTAATGACAATTATATCTAACTCTTAACCAATTGTTTCAGGCCTCTTCACACCATGTAAGTCAATTTTTTCTCGTCCATACTTAAATTCCCTGGTCACTGCAGGTTGGTGAAGGGAGGTAGAGGAGGACTGGTTCTGATATCACTCACCACTGATGTTAATCGTGTCACTGGGATTATAGCGCAACGCCCTAACCACTGTACCACCGCCGGTATGAAAGTAGTTCAATGTGAGAGAAATTCCTTCTATGAGTGTTTATCAACGTGTATTAAATCCCTTTATTATTTTCAGTATGCTGAATATCCCACAAAGCCAGAGAGGCTTTCTCCACAATTAGTTTGGCTTTGAGAGTTTTTATTGCAGCTTCTTCTAAAGATCACTTTTGAGGTCGGTATCACGCCCACATTTTTTTAAACACCATTGAAGTCTCATTTTAAGTGAAATACTGGTATTATAAAACTAATGGGACAGAATGACTGCTGTTGCTGTCTCACACTCAGGCACCCACCTGCACCGCCCTCCTCATAAAAAACCTGAGAAAGCGCAATGCGCTCTTCAACGGTCAAATCCATATCTCCAGAGAGATCCCTGAGACGAACCAGGAGGAGAACCGTGGTGTTGTCATATCTGCAGGACACACATGTACACATATGCGCACACATGTTTATACCACAAACAAGACAATTTCCACATACACACCTACTGATTTTGTTGCATTACTTAAAAACAATCCTACACGTAAGATCAAACAGTGCCTGTTGCGATCGTGATTCACGGTTCACGAGAGACATTGGTGATGCTCGTACACATTTGTGATTGCGCAAATTGTGATACTGTGCATATTCCTCAAGCATGACCTACAATTATGGAATAACCTAACAACATGTGTAAGGATCATGTAAGGACATGTTGGGATGGTGTAATGGTCATCTAGGTACACCAAACGTTAATAATTAATTAAATGTGCCTGGGATACAGCTGGGCAGGAGAAAGCAGGGAATAGGTTGAGGACTGGGTCAAAGAGAGATTTGGCAGGAAAGAGAAAGGAAAGGGTTGGTGGAAGGGAGGGAGAAGATTTGAGGAACCTGCTGGAAACTTCCAAAAAGATCGGGGAGAGGGTATATAAAGGGGGTGTGACGTGTGCTCGGAGCTCTCGAAGAGACGGCTTCCTTTGAGTGTGAGGGATTTTCAACAAAGCCCTTACCCGAAGATTGCCTTGTGTGGACTCTATTTCACATGCATGGCCTATTGCAATGAATAGCAATACGTACACATTGGAATACAGAGCAATGTACAGACCTTTGACCATACTTCTCCATGCTGGTCAGTAGTGTGAGGAAGCCCCACGACCCGTTTGGATATCACCTGCCACTGATGTTAGTCGTTGCTGGGTCGCAGGGTTCATAGCGCAGTGCGCTCACCACTGCACCACCGCTCCACCTCTCCATCCCTTTGCAATGTACTGCCTGATATACACAAGAGCTAGGCCTTGCCTATAGCAAGGGATGCCTCTTCTGAAAATCTGTGAGCAGCTATCACAGTGAACAGTGCTGTCTGGTCGTCAGTGCATAAGCGACACAGCGCACTGAGCAATATCGTGCAAAACAAGCAATGGCAATGAGTCATGAATCCAAGGTCACCACGCAAGGGAATCCACTGCTGTGGCTGTAACAATCGAGTATTTTATTGCTCCTGGAGAACTCCTCTTAGTGCACTCCTAATATCTGCAGCCCAGATCAGAGACAATTCCTATTATGTGAGAGAATTTCCTCCTATTATGAGTGTGTATCTGCGTTAAAGAGGAGTTACCTGGTACTGGTTTCAGATGTTAGCAGTAGTAAAGAGCGTAGGCAGAAGTAGTCGAAGGAGACTACCATCTAGATTTTTTAGTTTATTCTAGATTGATGATGGATCAATTATAATTAATTGATGATTTGCCAGTAGCCCTCCCCATGATATCACTGTGGATAAGGAGTTGAATTTTACAGAATCATGATATCCGCAGGTGTTGCCAATTCGGATATTGTGGGGAACAGATACGATAGCTGCAATTACCATCCAGCTCTCCCCACAGCCCCACTGAGGGCACACCTTGGCCCTGTGCATGCAGCTAACAGCGATTAAACCACATAGGGGAATGCATTGTCAGATTTCTCTACTCTTTCATGACTTACTCTAAAACTTAACCATAGCTGACGTAAATTACGAGAGGTGTTTGCCCAATGGTGCCATGCGTACATGGTGTTTACAGCACAGGGAAATCTACAACAAATGTACACAAAGATCTTGTTCTAACAGTTCATGAGACGTTTATTTGTGTGGCAAAACACAGATGACAGCATCAGAGCCCATATCTCACCTGGGTAACTTCTTCAGTCTGGCCAGTGAATCCCTGATGACAGCTTTCTTTCCCTCCATGGCTCAGATCTGAACAGAGCAAAAACATAATTCCATTACTTCATGCATTCATTTCATGGGTCAGCATTGGAGACATTCAATCAGCTTATTTATACTCAAGAGGCCGCCCCGTAGCCAACTGTGGCTTTAGACTTGGTTATCCCAACATGCCACACCATGGTAGAATGACCAAATACAGTGCATCCAGCAAGATTATCATTATTATTTAAAGAACGGGAGGTGAGTAGTAGAATTTATATATTTGCATTGAAAGTTAAAACCCAGCATATTTTTTCGTCTAATATAGCGTCCTGTAAATGCTGTCTCAATATTTACCAATAATCGTGTTGAAAAGCATATTCAGTGGTTGCACACAGCACACATCTGATGATTGGTATAAACATAAACGTATATTGTTGGGGTGTGCGAGGATCAGAGGTTGAGGCACACTGGTGTGTGGTTAAAAACTTGGCGAGTCTGATACTTATTGAGATTACTGTATACAGTATAAAAAAAGAAATGGGGTGTATATGAACTTGAATGTAGACCTGGCATTTACATGAAATCCCCAATGATACTTCAAAAAGTGAACATTTCAAACTTCATAGGTAGCCCTGATCTTTGAATCCTAAGAGATGTTTATTTTGAGCTTGGTCAGAAATAATTTCCTGACAAAGTCAGTGTTCCTATAGGCTTTGTTCCTGCATGTGCTTGGACAGGTGAAAAACTATGCATAACAGGTGTTGTAGGAGCCACGGCAATGTGGTGGGCACCGTAATACAGAAAATGCATTGTTGTCCTGTACTTCCATACTCCCACATCCCATCATATAATGCAATTTATAAAGCACGCAATATTTCACGGAGACGAATGACCTTCACTCTGAGGCGTGGAGCCAAGCTCAGTGTCGCTCGCTGGAAGGCCAGGCCTTCACCATCCCACACTGACCAGTATGGAGAAGAATGGAGAAATAACCCCCATGACCCACAAAGCATGGGGAGCCCTTTATCCAGCTGTGAACTGACAAAGGACTGTAAATTATATCAATAATGTATCTAAGCAGCCTACATTCCCAAATGCATGCATTCCTCTTGCTGTATCTCTGTGGAAGCACCTCCCTATGTATCTTTGCGCACTTATAAATATTTTTTTCGTGAATATCCATGCTTCAGATCCACGTTATACCAGGTAGCACTCATTTATATATTTAGCTATGGTACTGTTCGTTAACGATGACGAGAAACCCCCATAACAGAAACTGATGGTGACCTCACACAAGAGGACTACAATGCACTTCTGCAGGAAATGCTGATGGTTATTGCAGAATGCACAAAAGCGGAGTGATTTTTGTGTTGTTTGAAATGTATCCTAGAGTTGGGAACTTCCTCAAACGCACAGTGCCACCTCTACGGCGTGAGCACCATTACCTTGTGACAAATCTCACTTCTGTTGCCCAAACCATAGGAGCAGAGAGAGGCAGTGGTGTGCAGGTACAGAGAGGGCATAGAGCGATCGGGTCGCATGACAAGAAAGTGGTTTACATTCTTCATCACCACAAACAACTGCAACCTCTGCTTTTGGACATCCCCTAGAGGAGGTAGGTGAGCAGTTTGCCCCATGCCTCAGAGGGGGGCTCAGATCATGGTGGGGGCCTCCATGATAATAAATTATTTACAGCCATTTGTCTATGCACCACTAGATGGTCAAAGTATTGTCATAGTGGTTCTTTAACTACACTTCACCACGTAGATCAGAGTGGGTCGATAAAGGGAGGGGGTCAGGATGTGGGACAGTGCCAGATCAAATATAACTCGCCACTGATGTTAGCCGTGACTGAATCGTACTCGGGTTGCCATATTCATAGCCAAGTAAGCGAACCACTGCGCTACTGCCCCCCCCCCCACTACAACAATTCAAACAAGTTACAAATGAAACACTCTGACCCAGTGTTCTTGACAAATTTTCAGAGGGGGGCCACTTTCGCCGATAAGACATCAGTGAGAGGGCCGTCACTCATTTGAAACCACTTGGTGTTTGACAGCATGATGGGGGTGTTTTCACATTCGTGTATTTTCAGCGGCCGCACGTCAGAGGCCGCAATCAAGGCCACCAGGGGATGCCAGTGGCCCGCGGTCTTTGCAATGAAGAACGCTACCCTAAACACGAGTAACATGTACAAACATGTCTAGGTTGAACTAAAATCCCTCAATAACATTGCCAGTCACAGAACAAAAGTGTTTTTTTTGTTCAAATCCAATTTCTTAGAGGGGAAAATCCCTGTGTATACGGGAAGTGGACCTTATACCTGAGACGGGCCAGGTGCCCCCCTCGCCTACACACAATGTTTTTGTTTACAGAGAACCCTACCCCCTAACATAATACGAGTAATTATCACGTGCAGCACATTGTTAATGACCAAACGGCGGAGCCATGTCGTCTTCACCGCGACACCGGCATGTATATCGAGAGGCATCACAGTCTATTGCACGATACACTTCCCATTGAAGCAGCGTGGTCAAGTATGGTCAAACCACCCACTGAATGGGGAGGCCTTCATCCAGCAATGTATCAACAAAGAACATCATTAACTACTATTGTGATAGAATATAACCTTGCCTCGTTATTGTGCTCGCTTGTTCGCAATGACTCGCACGAACTCAGCCGGAGCCGACACTGCGCCGTCTTCTCCCAAGGTCTCTCTGTGGTCTGCCTGAGTTCGGAAATCCCCTGAGCTCAGTCTTCAACAGCAGCAATAACCGCTGGGCGAGACTAGCTATCTGAACTCGCCACCACAGCACGCCACCTCTCGGATTTGTATCATAATATTTAGAATCAGAATATTTATTTATACTGCACTGGAGGAATCCGATGAACTGTAAAGCTGATTTTCACAGATGTCCAGTAGGGGCGGTTAAGAACGTTACAACAGTACAAAAACTTGATAGTGGTGCAAAGTATAAGAAAGGTAATCAAATCACCCAAACGCATACAAATAAAACTAAACCATCCCCATCCTACCGGGAAAAGCCCACTGAGATAGTAACTTATTTTTTAGAAGCGACCTGGCCACAAATGAAAACTCAGCAAAGTGGCCCACCATTTGGATATTTATAACATATAGCATCTTATCCATTGCTTTTTGTTCAGAGAAAATCAGTAATTGTTCACCCGCCATCAATGTCCATGTTCATGTCTAGCCACGTAAAACTAAGCCAGTGCTTCCCCCAAGCATCTTACTGCACTTTTCAAGTTGTATTACATTTCCTTATTCAGGGTTTGTTCCAAACAACTTCGTGTCTGTGTGTTGGACATCCCTCAGGAGGGGACGCAGGTTCCGTTTCTCAGATTAGAGGGGACCTCACAAATGGCTGAGGGAACCTGAGGCTGCGAAGGGGGGCGGAGGGAGGGAGCCTCATCTGCCATTTACTCCGGGCTTCGAAAAACCTATTGATGGCTCTGCTCCGAAGCTACATTTTCCTAATTTTACCCAACATTACAGCATATTGATAATTTACAGCCCTTCATCTATCCACTGCTGGATGAAGGCCTGCCTCCCTCCCATGCCATGTTTGTCATCGGGTTTGTTGGATATACTTCACCACGATGCTCAGTGTGGCTCAATGGTCCATGAAGTGCAGAACATTGTTGGATCTGTTTAACACGTAGGCTTTCACGACCGATATCCATAATGCAAGGTTTTTTTTGGGTTAGATCACGTAAATGTGTCATTAAACCCGACACATCCAACTAGTAAGGTTTGTCGCGTAAACAACATACTCTTTGGTTCTTTTGGTAAAGTCACGTAGGCATAGTCTGCCTCAGCAGCAGACCATGCTTTCCCACCTGATGACGGACGCTTGTGTTGCGCCCGAAACGTCGTGATTTATTTTATACCTACATGGCTTTACCGAAAGAACCAAAGAGTATAGATTCCTGCAGTCACGAAAGCTTCAAATCAAGATTAAACAGAACATGCCAATCCGTTACTAGTACAGCACACTGGTGTATTGGAGAGCTAAGTCACAACATTTACATATTGACAAACCTTACTAATTGGTTGTGTCTGGTGGAGGCGGGTTTAACGACACATTTATATATGTACGTGATCTAACCCAAAGAAACCTGCGTTATAGATTGTTCGATCTTTGCACTGCCCTCTGCTGCTCACAACACCAACTACACCTGCTGTTATGCCTGCTGGTGATCACCCACCCCAAGCACTATCCAGGCTCAAGCCTACTCAGCATATGTGATGTGCCTCATATCACATTGAAAATCTTGTTTTTACATAAATGTGTTTGTGTACTGGTTGCTCTCGCGCTTAGGAAGCAGAGGGCAGCACAAGGACCCCACCGCCGCCATAACGAGTGGCGATAGAAGCGCTCCGTCCATTGGTCACAAGCTGGCCAGCAACGGCCGCTGTGATTGGACCAGACGTTTGCCTTCGTAGGGTGAGCGCGACCATTCACGATTCAAAAAAAGGGGGTGGGAGGATGGAATGTGCGATTATTAATCATTAAAATTTAGTTAAGACACGAACTGGACCGTTTTTTTTCAATTAAATCTTGAATTGTCACGTGAGTAGGCGAGTCTGTGTAGAAATTTTCAGCTCGTTAGGCTTCATAGATCCGAAGATATTAAGCGTCAAAGATTCCAAAGAATATAAACAGACAACACGGCAAGTTCAATAAAAGTGTGGAGTAAAAGATAGAACGTTACCTGTAATCGTTTCTGAAAATTAAACTTCCTCCGTGAGGTGGATTTCTATTTAAATCGTTATCGAGTTAAAACTTGTCAAGTTGTTTAACATGACGTGGAAAACTTTGTATTGATTGAAACCTGTTTCTGTCATTAAAGGGCTTTTGAATCATATTAAAGCCGATACATTATTTTGATTTTTGTACATGTGCATATATATTGGCTGTCAATCCACTTCTGAATGGCCATACTTCGCCACACTAAAGCATTAGCGTCGTTGTGGAGACTATCCTACATCAATAGCTGTCCCTCAAGATCAGGGGTCGACAACCTGTGGCTCTTAAGGACTGCTTCGTGACGTTATTAAGGACCACCGTCTCGTAGTCACCACATGCATTATTAAGGACCACCGTCTCGTAGTCACCACATGCATTGGGGCTCTTGAAATCTTGAGTTTCCTAGCGAATTAGAAAAAAATGTCTCGTGTTATTTTGGTTGCCCGACCCCTGCTCTAGAAAAAAAAATATCTTTGGTAATAAAGTGCTTTTATCGGTTGAAAATCATCTTTTGTATCAAAATATATATCGATGGCAACAACCCTAAATACTGTACTTTACTCAAAAATATCAATAGAACATGAAGTGTGTTGTCTCACGGGGGGAGGGGGGGGATTACAAAATCCCCGACCCAGCGAAGGGGATTTCCGAGAGCGTGCAGGTAGCAGCAGCAGCACGTGACAGCAGCACGTGACGCCCGAGGTGATGGTGGTGGTGTCACAGGGGGGGGAGGGCTGTGGTTGATTTTACACGGGAAAAACTGTTTTAAAAAAAACAAGCTTTTCAAAGCACACACTTTTATTTGCACTAAAAAGAAAAAAACATATTTTGACCCCAGAATGAATCACATTTGATGTGTTCAATAAATTGGGTGGCTTGCTGAAAGAGCATTAAGGAAGTGCGCAGTTGCTACCTGGGCACCGACGTCACGTGCCGGCTCTTGATGCCTGCTCCAAAGTGGGTTCATCATCAAACATCCACGCACACGAGTCGTGTTTCACACAAAGATTCGTGTCAAAAATGGCAATACTGCCCCTATACTCTATATGACTAGGCACTGTTATTTAAATAAGACTGCCCCACTCCCATCTGCATCATTTGACTTTAATGTTTTGTCAACAATACAGAATCAATAAAAATAGGCATACAACATCCTCTGACCAACAGATACGCACATAATCGTATATTAAATCTATATTCCGTGTGAAAGAAACCACAGCCCTCACACCCCTCTGTGTCACAACCACTACAGCTGTACCACCACCACTACAGCTGTACCACCACCACTACAGCTGTGCCACCACCACTACAGCTGTACCACCACAACTACAGCTGTACCACCACTACAGCTGTACCACCACCACTACAGCTGTACCACCACCACCACTACAGCTGTACCACCACTACAGCTGTGCCACCACCACTACAGCTGTACCACCAACACCACTACAGCTGTACCACCACCACTACAGCTGTGCCACCACCACTACAGCTGTACCACCACCACTACAGCTGTACCACCACCACTACAGCTGTACCACCACAACCACAGCTGTACCACCACCACTACAGCTGTACCACAACCTCTACAGCTGTACCACCACTACAGCTGTGCCACCACCACTACAGCTGTACCACCACCACTACAGCTGTACCACCACCACTACAGATGTATCACCACCACTACAGCTGTACCACCACTACTGCTCTACCACCACCACTACAGCTGTACCACCACCACCACCACTACAGCTGTACCACCACCACTACAGCTGTGCCACCACCACTACAGCTGTACCACCACCACTACAGCTGTACCACCACCACTACAGATGTACCACCACCACTACAGCTGTACCACCACCACCACTACAGCTGTACCACCACTACAGCTGTACCACCACCACCACCTCTACAGCTGTACCACCACCACTACAGCTGTACCACCACCACTACAGCTGTACCACCACCACCACTACAGCTGTACCACCACCACCACTACAGCTGTACCACCACCACTACAGATGTACCACCACCACTACAGCTGTACCACCACTACAGCTGTACCACCACCACTACAGCTGTACCACCACTACAGCTGTACCACCACCACTACAGCTGTACCACCACCACTACAGCTGTACCACCACCACCACTACAGCTGTGCCACCACCACTACAGCTGTACCACCACCACTACAGCTGTACCACCACCACTACAGATGTACCACCACCACTACAGCTGTACCACCACCACCACTACAGCTGTACCACCACCACCACTACAGCTGTACCACCACCACCACTACTACAGCTGTACCACCACCACCACTACAGCTGTACCACCACTACAGCTGTACCACCACCATCACTACAGCTGTACCACCACCACTACAGCTGTACCACCACCACCACTACAGCTGTACCACCACCACTACAGCTGTACCACCACCACCACTACAGCTGTACCACCACTACAGCTGTACCACCACCACCACTACAGCTGTACCACCACCACTACAGCTGTACCACCACCACTACAGCTGTGCCACCACCACTACAGCTGTACCACCACCACTACAGCTGTACCACCACCACCACTACAGCTGTACCACCACCACTACAGCTGTACCACCACCACCACTACAGCTGTACCACCACTACAGCTGTACCACCACCACCACTACAGCTGTACCACCACCACTACAGCTGTACCACCACCACTACAGCTGTACCACCACTACAGCTGTACCACCACCACCACCACTACAGCTGTACCACCACTACAGCTGTACCACCACCACCACTACAGCTGTACCACCACCACTACAGCTGTACCACCACCACTACAGGTGTCACGAGCTGCTGCAGCTCTCGGAAATCCCCTTCACTTTGACCCAGCAGCGGCGGCGGCGATTTCGCAATCGCCTCTGCCTCACATCCATCGTGAGACACCAAACTTTTGTATTCCATCGATATTGACAGTGTTTCGGGGTTGTTATGGCGACCAACACATCTTTTTGTTATAAATACTAATCTTTAATTGATTAAAACAATCATATTACCTGATAAAAACACCGATTTATAATGTAGTGCTCTTTTCGAAAGGATTGCGATGTCGGTGACTTTCTGGACCCTGCTGTGGTTTTACCTGAACGCGGAACGTCCTCTTCACAAGCATCACTACCCCCTCGCAAGACAACACAAGCTCCCCCATGGCCGCTCATTCACCACCTTCACAAACCCAACCTCGACCATAACATCCACAGCCTTCGTCAATCTCCAACACCCCCCTGCCCCCCATCAACAACGACGCAAACGTGAGGTGGCCCCTCATCCAGCAGTTAAGACTGATACAGGGCTGGGGACAACATCACTACAACACAGCAGACAGCAGCACCTCTGTCCCCCAGACATCCACACCAAGAAGGAAGGAAGGAAGGGGGTCTCAGCCGCTCACCTGTTGGAACGAGCACGCGAGTTGAGTCTCCCCCTGGCCTGCTCCCCCCACGTCTCTCTCACTCTGAACTCTGAGGAGGTTTGTGAAGGAAGCGCGCAGCTGCTGCCTGGGGCACTGCCGCCACGCCCCGGCTGCCTGCCCCCAGGTGGGGGTCATCGTCAGACATCCACGCAACTCGAGTCGCGTTTCACGCAGAAATCCCCCGTCAAAGAGTGGCAATGCCCGTCCCTGCGCTGTGCATCGTTATGCACTGTAATCTAAATAAGACGGATCCCATCTGTAGCATTTTACTTGTGTAATGACACCAAGGCAAAGTGCAGCCTCACGGTTATTCTGAAATAAAATCACGAGGCCTCCTTTGCCAGTAGCAAAGTATAATAATAGGTCTTTATTTACCCTCTTTTCTGGTAACAAAACTGAAGTGTAAAAAAAACCTATTATTACATCCTAAAATAAAGCTGAGGTCTCCTCACGATTGAAGTAAAGAGGCCTCTCCACGGTGATTGGTCCGCGAGGCGGGGCTTTTGAGGTGATTGGCGGGAAAGTTTTGAGGGAGAAAAAGGCGGGAAAAACAACGGCGGTGGAACCCAGAGGCGACGGTTTGGATCCGTTAGAGGGAAAGGACGGGGATTGGCTGAGGGGAATGGGGTGGGGGGGACATTCCAGATAGGGGGGCTGAGGGGTATATAAGGGGAGAGCACGAGGAGTGGGGACGTTCGGAGGAAGATTCGAGCTAGAAGAACGTCAAGAAGCCTCGGGTCCCTCATTGGCGAAGTCTGTAGTAGAGTTCCTTACGGTGTAAACTAAATTAAAGTGGCTATTCTGATTCTCTTGTCGTCGGAGTCATTACAAAAGTATGACAACTGTTATTATTTTTTCATACTTTGATACTGGCAAAAAAAAGTCCCATTTCGTTACCATATTAACGAAAGCAACCACAAAACACAGCCTTTAGCAGCCAGCGTGGGGAACGCAACTCTCATCCCCTGGGAAAGTCACGCTCAGTGCAAGTTTCCTAGGGGCCGTCCATAAATGACGTCACGCGATTTTTGACCCCCCCCTATCGTCACACGGCGTTACAAAAAGTCACACCCCTCCTCAAATATGACGTCACAAAGCTCTGCCCCCCCAAAAAATATAAAACATGCTTCAAATCGCTTTAAATTATTTAATTAAGTAGAACGTGTTGTCTATATGTATCTAAAGATGCGCATTTTGATGTGACGTCACATTTCTCAAACCCCCCCCTCATTACACATCGTCACAAATGTCTGACCCCCCCCCCCCCCCCAGGTGCGTGACGTCATTTATGGACGGCCCCCTAGGGGATTGACAGCAGCACTGAGGCCATGCCCCATCCATGATGCTCCCCCACCAACTGTCTACCAGTGTGTATGTGCGCGCGTGTTTCTTTTTATTGTGTGCATGTGTACAGTATACTGCAAGTGTTTGTTTCCGTATGTTTAGAATGCATTTTGAACTTCAGAACTTCTTTCGCACCGTACGTAGTCAACCGTGCTAATCGGAGGTGCGGTGGAAGGACAAAACTGAACACAAAAAAGCATCAAGTGTGGAAGCATACACTGAGACGGTGCATCCCAACCTCTAAGGGTCCCCCTTTCTGGCAAACCTCCCAAGCGAGCTACCTCCCTATGCCCCATCTCAACAGAATGGTAAATCTAATGCGATGAAGAGGAATGTGGTCAACCCCTCTGCTTCCTCCGTCCATGAGGTCCTCTCGCATAGAGAACCTTGTGGGCAAAAATAACCCAGGGGAAGCAAGCCACAAGCTAAAAGTGCCAGTCCATACACTCCCATGTAATGCAGGTAGAGCAAGCCTCACATCAGATTCCTATGGTTAGACCCCAAAGCCACCCATTGATACTCGAACGTTCTGCGAAAATGTCTGGTGACAAAGAATCAGTTTTACCCTAAATTAGCACGTACGGTCGGAAAGAAGTTCAACATACATACTAATGATCCCCGGAGTGTCCATATGTTAGCGCCATAGAGCCAGAAATCACAAAAACAGTTAAATTAATGTTAAGCAAAGTAATTACTCCATAGGCAGGCTTTAATTTCTCACTCGATATTACTCAGAACGCCGTTCGGTACATGTCACCTGATTTGATGATATGGAAATTTGTGCGTCCTTATTAAAAGTAAAGTTTATCTTAATGATACACTAGTTAAATTGAAGAATGTACTGTCCTTAAAGGCATTTGACAACCCTGGGATCTATTCACACATTCTTTTTCACACTATTGCACAACACCGCAGAATCATCATCAGCCATGATCAATCCAATGCGAAAGGCCTCCCCAAGCACCTGCCACATCACTGCAGAGGCCGTCGGAAACTGAATTTCTGGTTTCGGCCAAAAACGGAACCAGTGTGGTGCCACAGCAGCGAAGCCGCTCCGTCGGAGCCGTGCCTGCAACTGTGATGCCGCAGCAGCGAGGCCGTCCTGCCGACTCCGTGGCCGCGACGCCGCCACCTCTGAGCGACGGGGCCGACACTGCTCTTCCCTCACCACCCCCCACATGAACACACACACACACACACCCACATAGAGCCCCGAGGGCAGGTCACCTGGCCGACAGGTTTTCACCCAGAATCCCTCTCATGGGACCAAACTTCACGGTTTCCTGCAACCAGGGAATTGGGCGACCTCCCCCGAGGCTAACATGCACTGCGGCGCCGTGACTTGGGTTGTAATTACATGGTCACGACGGGGCTGCTGAACCACCGCGGATAGAAAACACCCACGACACACACGGGTCAGCAGGCAGGTAGGGGGGGGACGGAGTCACGAACGGCGGGAAAAACAGAGCCTGTCCTCTGATTGGTAGGACAGATGCGCTTGTTTAGAGGGTGAAAAGCGGACGTCTGAGAGAGCACCGGTCCAGAGAGAGTGGCGGGAAATACGAACCACCTGATTGGACGGGAGGCCAGCGGATCAGCGCCGAGTTATCTTTTGATGTAGAGGACAATAAAAAGGGTAGAGAAGGTAAGGATAGTTAGTTCGTGTTCGACTCAAGCCAGCCCTCGGGGCGGTCGACTTCCCAGCCACTCGAACGTCCGTGTGACGAGTCGAAGTACAGCGAGAATCCAACCCAGCAGCTCCGTACGAGTCGAACCGTGAGTACCCCAGAGTGAGGTATTGAGGCCATTGTGAGATTGTCTTAGGAGGGTGATTTGAAAGAGGCAATACAGATCGGGTCTTAGACGATTGGGAGATAGGTTAGACCTGCCCTGCTGACTCAAACTGACTCGGGTAATTTAACCTCAGACTCGCTGAGAATAAACTGCTGGGGATCAATAAACCTTGTCGTGTGGTTTCTGCGAGGGTGGGACGGATGCATGTTCGTGTGCGTCGTGGTACCCTGTTTGTGCATGAGGGTGTATTTACCCACGTGTTTGCGCTCGCCCATGGGTGTAGCTCGTGGTTAGCGTGTGTGTGGTGAGCGGCGGCAGACTCGTACAGGGGCACGTGAGATTACTCATACGTCCTTTCGTTTAACGTGTGCGTGAGGCTAATGGGCGGCGTATACGCGAGATTATTCGTGCGGCCTTTTGTTTAGCGTGTGCGTGGGGTGAACGGGCGGCGTACCTGCGAGTTTGTTCATACAGCCCTTTAAATAAATCTCCGAGACAACCCCCTAATCGGCTGCGCGTGTGCGAGTGACGTCCCTGCCCTATGACCCCCGACCCCGAGTCCCGCGCGCGCAATTGGTGCGTGGCACGAGAGGAGCGACGTCGGATTTCGAGTGAGTAGGTGTGAGTGTGCGCGGAGATTGTGTGAATTGATCTCAGGTGGCTAAGTGCCAGCCACGAATCATGCCCCAAGGGGCCGCAGCGAAGGGGGGGGGGGAGTCGGTGAGGAGAAACCCTCCCCAGGACACGGAAGAGGGGAGCAGTGGATCGCACCTGAGCGAGGAGACGGGGGTCAGCCTCCCCAACACTAGACCGAAAGTAAAAAATTTACTTTCGGCCAAAACCGAAAGTAAACCAAAAGTAAACTGAAAGTTAACTTTTTGGCTTCAGCCGAAACAGAAACTATGTCGAAAGAGGCCATTTGCCAACTTTCGGCACCAAAACCGAATTTCGGTCGGCCTCTAATTGTCAGACTTCGAATCTTGGTATCAACACGCGAGTAGACTGAAGCGAACGCAACACATAAAAGTCAAGGCGGGCAGGCGGCTAGGAACAGACAACAGAGGCACTTTGTTGTCGTCCCGCCAAAGAGACTCCACCCCCGGATGGAGATGCAGGCTGCCATCTGTTGACCGGTCGTATATACATTAACAGACCATGGTTGCGGCTGTAACCTCGCTCCCAAGCTGCTGCTGCTGACGTGTGTGTTTGCAGCTTATCGCATATGATTGCCTAGCGCCGACTGACCGGACGATAGGCAGAGTGATAGACGTAGCACTAGCGTTATATTCTAAAATAGATCTTCGGTTGACGAATGACGAGCGAAAGTCAATATCAATTTCGGCCGAAACCGAAACCAGACGGAAAGTAAAAAATTGACTTTCGGCCGAAACCCAAAGTAAACCGAAAGTAAAAAATTAACTCTCGGCCGAAACCGAAAGTATGCCGAAAGAGGCCATTTGCCAACTTTTGGCGCTGAAACCGAATTTCGGTCGGCCTCTACCTCAAAGCCACTTGAAGTGTCGAAGGCTCGTTGGCAGGTCACGGGACAGACCCACGTTCCATGGGTTGACTGAAATAACTGGCAGATGCATTCTCGGACAAAGGATGTTGTGGATGGCGGGAGTTGGGTCTGTCACTTTCTCTCAGCTAGCCAGAACACCTCCTCTGTCAGTCAGGATCATAGCAAGTGCATCAGTCACAGTACTGAACCTCACCCATTTCCCATTAGCATCAGGAGGGGCGATAATGCCAACCCCAGCTGTAAGAGACATGGCCGTGCGAGTGTGTAAGAGTGTGTCTAATTGTTTCAGTGTGTTACTTTGGGTGGAAATGCCTTTATGTACGTGTTTTGGCAGTAGTTTATTTTATCGTGTGCCATGCCATCCTTAATAAGTGTTCGCTTTGAGTCTCTTAAATGGCCATATGGGGGCTCTTTATTTATGACAGGAGAGTTTCTGTATGCATTTCTGCATGCGTGTTTGGGTGTGTGTAGGCACCTAAGAACCATATATATTATATACTATACATTTTAAAACATGACTGTTCTATGTCAAAGTTTTACTGACATTGTAACTCACAGCAGAAAAAGGAACAAAGTTCACAGGCTATGCTAAAACATGTATTTCTACGTTTCACAATCAACTTTAATATTGCAAACATATGACTATATCTCACCCTGTACTTCCATCCAAATGTAATCGACAGAGCAGCTCCCATAAATCATCGCGAGGAACACTGCATTCGCATCCTTGGGCCTAGTTGATCGATCAATTGATTGGTCAAGTGGGCATGCACAGCGGCGTGGCCTCAATGCTTGCCCTTCTTCTTGCGGCCCTGCGTGCGGCGCCGCGTCTTTGCTTCGATGATCTGCTGGGACTGTCGCTTGAGTGTGGCCCTGGTCAGGACCTCCGTAGCATCCTCTCCACTCGACTCTTCATCTGTGAAGTTGGCGAGATGTGGCATCACCACTATCAAACATCATCATCCAGTTCGAAAATGATCTGCCTTA